ACATTTTTTGCGTAAACTAGCCGAGTTGTATTTTTAATACAAATACTACTTAAAGTTTTCAGAAATATGAATGAAAGCATGTATGATTGAACAGCATTAGTTATTTAACTGCTATCTACCTCTGTCATGGGAACTTATTTTTATATATATGTCTATTTAAAGAGTGGTGGCAAGCAAGAATGTGACATATGTGCATATGAGGACACATTTATGCAGAGTGTGGGTCGTGAGCTACTTGGAGGAAATAGACTGTGTTTCTGAAGAAAGTTGCTAACTTTTGCTTGTCCCCCGTGGACACCATTGTACTTTTTACTTGTTCTGTTTCATAACAGTTTCAGCCATCTACTTCAGATACACCCCTCCTCCACCTCACTACCACCTTCTTTCTATTTTCAGTATCTGACACTTGTCTTTTTGCCCTGCTTGGGTATAATGTGGGTATATTGTTCCGCTGGTAATCTTTGTAATCATATAACTCATATGCTGCCAGTATTCTCATTTAAGTACTTAAAACTCAGTATGTGTTGTATTTTTATAGAGGTATGGGATATCTACATGGGTTAATGTATAAATATGAGTGTTGATACAGACAGGAAGCTTCAGAGAGACATCTCAGTCCTACTGAGAAATGAAGTGCAAGGTTTGTAAGCAAGCCACCTTGCGAATAACAACAGTACAGACACAAGTGGACCAGAAAGCCTTATGGAACTGCACTCGCACGAGCTGCTAGGCAAGAAGGCTGGAAAGCACCAATTCCTGAGGAAGGACAGGCGACCGAGTGCAGCTGATGAAAGGCCAAGGAGAAGCACACTGCCAACAGTCTCCTAACATCAGCACATGCATGGGGAAAGGGCTACAACAGCCACCAGCGCTAAAACAACCACTGCTGACAGCTAGAAGGACCTACAACAGAGGAACATCATGTCACTAGGCTCCAGGATAGAGCTCAAGAGCGGATAGTTACTATGGAAAGGTCTGGTGGCCTAGGAGATCATCCCTGCTAAACTGTTCCTGCTTTCAAATGCCAACAGCTGTGAGGCAGTGGGAGGGATGCCCCAGCTGCAGCTGGTCTACCTTCAACCACAGAGAAACCTGGTGATTGAGATCATCCCCCTTCAATTCCAAAGCAGAGGCGAACAGGAGTGCACCAGACCTCGTTACCCAGGAAGGACCCAGGTGTTCCTCATTTCCATAAAAGACCATCTGACTTCAGCAGAAAGCCTCGTTAACAAGAGCTAGGGTATTAAAAGGCCCTCTCACAGTTGAACAACTTCTTCTAAGCATCTCAGTGAGGATTTCTGGGCCAAGAAGCAGTTGTCTACAGCAAACAGCTCTCCTCATCACGCTTGCAGCCCTGGCAGCAGACATGCTATACTAGTCCCCTTCTATGAAGGGCAAGCCTGTAGTATATTAGCCAGGAGCCACAATGCCCACATAAGACCTCAGAGAGGTAAGAGGGTGAGTATCAGTGAAGAAAAAATACCGTATCCTTCCTTCCTGTCCTAGCCAACTTGCTGCACACCTCCCTGCAGCAAGTACAGCCCTGTACTTGCTGCAACTGTGCTCCTTGTCCACCTAACAATAATACTCTTACTATAAAGACTTGTATACATTTTTATACTGTCAGGCTCACCTTGAAGGAGAAGTCCCACTTCTGAGTGCTGCACTGGAGGAAATAGGGGTCTTCCTCTGCTTCTCTAGATGCTTGAAGACTATTGCTGGTCAAGATTTAACTCTTCAAGCCTTCCTGGAGGTACCTAGAGAAAGGGCAGCCCTTCTGGGCGCTCACTTTAAATACTCCTGTGCCCACAGTGCTCTGGGAGGAGATGATGAGCTGAGAATGAGGCACGAGTGGGGACAGCTGAGCAGGAGCCAGGCTCTCTCCTAGCCTGCCTGGCCTTGCAGTGCAGCAAGGCAATGCAAGTGTTGATGTAGAGTGAATCCATGCAAGGGGGGGAGCCTGCTCTGCTACATGAACCGTATTCAATACCTAACCAGGTGAGTGCCTAAACTACTTCTCCTGACATTTAAGATCCATGTGGTGTATCTATGTATCTAGACTTGTTAATATATATAGCTATTATACACATGTATTATAGTATACATATATATAATGTCATTTATAGTAAATATATGTTAAGAGGGTATTTGTAGAGCTAGAGAATATATTCTTGTATTATAGGTTGTATGATATATAATTTGTATATGTGTGTAAAACATATATAATGTAATGCTAGATGCATGCACCTACTTTTATATGTGTGTGTGTATATATATATATATAAAAATACACATATACCTACACATATATAATACACACACACACATATATATATATATGCACAGACATAAAATGTTATAGGGCATTTTTCAGCTGTTTCTGTTTGCCAGACAGAAGAGTTGCAGGTTTTACATCCCCATTGCTGTCACTGCACTGGGGCATAAGGAAGCACGGCTGCTCCCTCAGGGGGCTGCCCCACAGAGCGTGGTGGCTGAGCTGTATGCCGGGGGGGAGAGGAGAGGTGATGGAGCCAATAAGGGACACCAGGGAGGGAGGTTGGGTGCAGCATGAGGCACAGAGGTGCTTGGTGCAGGGCATGCTGGTGGCTCCTTGCCACCACGCTGGAGACTGCAGAGTGCAGGGCTGTCCAAGGCATGTCCTACAGCAGATGGGAGCAGAGGCCTTGCCGGGCTTAGGCATCAGACAAGGTACTGTAGGGCTCTCTGGGTTCCTTCCAGAGCCGAATGGACCTGGAGCACAGGTGAACGTGTAATGGGCTCCTCCATGGTTGCCCAGGGTGCAACCAATGTTGTTTAAAGAGCAGCACTTACAAGGCAGCTGGGTGGAGATAAATGAATTTTACACAAGGTCAGGGGCTCAGCAATCACCGTTATATTCACAGTGTCATGGGGCCACCACCAAGAAGAGTACATGCAATTGTAACATTGGAAAATATTAGTCATTAATGGCAGGATGGCCCATGGAATGTAAGAAGTATTATTTAAAAAAAAAAAAAAAAAAGTATAGATTTAGGAGGTTGTATTTCAGCATGGGGCTGGAACATGTGTATGAGTGAGAGATTTGCTTAACAGTGGCAACGGGGGCATGCTGCTCTCAGGTCAAGCCGTGGTGTAATAATAAGACAGTGTAATAATATACCTTGCATAAGGAAAATGTGTGTTAGAGAACAAAATAGATATATACAAACTTTGTAGAAAACATAAATATGTATTTATATGTAAAACATATGTATGTATACATATATGTATATACAACTGTATACATAAATGTATATAAATATATAAAATATATACATATTAAAATGCATATTTATGTATAAACAAACATAACAGTGTTAATTGATAACTGAAGCTTACAGTCAAACAACTGCACTGAAAGTAGCAGATGTAACTTGTTAGAGGCTTATGTTTTTTTCTGCATGAAGTGTTTAGATTTACTGTTCAGTTGCTGATGGTAAATTATACCATAGTACTTTCGTTTGATCTGAAACTGTTTCATATAAAAGAAAGGTTAGACCATACCAGGTTGAATTAGCTATTGGAGCACTACTAAGGCAGAGGCAAGAAGGGACAATGACAGTCTGATAAAGATGATGATAGACCAGACTGAAAAAGTGTGTGTGGGAGGTGCTGCTAATTGGAGATTGCCTTTGGGTGTTAATTTGCACTAACCTGAGTCAAACCTGCGCCTGTGCACCCTGTGACATTTATGGTGAACTTCACTGGGGCATGTGTATTGTCGCAATGGTGATGGGTTAGATGAGGCAAGTGAAGTTTGGAATTAACAGTTGTATAGAAGAGAGATGGGCTAGGCGTCTCCTGCCTTGATCAGTGGTGAAACAGGTTGGTCTGCTTTTATCACCAAGAGCAAAAACTTGAGCTTCACTATCAGTTGCAGCCCAGCGGCTGATAAGGGTGGAGGAACACAGCCTGCCAGAACCTGAAGCGATCAATAGCTGATTCATCCTAAGGCTGCTATCCAGGAGAGAGCTGTAGGCCAAGCAGACTGTAATTGGCACAAAGAAAAGTCAATATTAGTATTACAGATTTTAATATGCTCTCCTCCATCCAGACAAGGGCCAGCTGTCTGCATGTGACTTAAAAGCTTCTTAAGCAGAAAGGAAAGAGAGGTGAAGAGCCCTTAGACAAGACTCTTACAGGGATGTAATAGCTGAGAAAAGGAAAGCAATTGCAGACATAAGCAGAGGCAGTTTCAGCTTCAAATAAAAGAACAGGAAAGACTACACGATTGACAAGAGCAAAGGACTTGTAAATCTGTGAGCAGTTTGAAATTAAAGTGCATGAGCCTATCTCCAGGGATCCATGGCTTTCAGAAACTAATCTGAGGACGTGTTAATGGTGATTCTCTCTCTGTGCTTGGTTTCCATACCTGTATATGGAGTCAGGGAAGTTGTGTATTAGAGGACAGCCTATTCAGTGCAGACTATTCAACAAGGGACCTCTAGAGATCATCTAGTCCCACCCCCTTGCCCCAGCAGGGACACTTGGGGTATGGGCATTTTCTCACTGATCAAAGGCGCAGCTTAGTTGGAATAATGGTACAATAAAATTCTTAATCTGAGAGTGAAGAGCAAAACCTGGAAACAGACATTCTCCACTGTAGCTGCAGACTCTTTCCAACAATGGCAAAATTTGATTCTCACGGTAAGGACTGTTGTCTCTTCATGCCGTCGATGCCTATGTTACTTACAACTTCTGAGCATTAGATCTTAGGATATACATCTTAACACAGATACATAATGACTGAGAGTGAATACAGCCTGTGCAATCCAATAATTTATTAAACTTTCATCTTGTAAAGCCAGTTACAAATTAAAAAAGACAGCAGAAGGAATTCTGTAATAGAAATGAGAAAAATTACAACAAACAGTAATGGGAGTTACATTCCCAAGTGGGTTCAAGCTGCCTGCAGCAACCCAAGAGCCAGAACACAGAAATAGTGCAGAGTAAAGGGCAGGGATAATCAAGGCTATTCTTATACATAAAAGATCTAGTCAGTGTATGGACCGATATGAAGTATTACTTTGCACACTACCTCTGCGTTCCTGTTCATTCTCACTTGTGACCTGGTCATCTTTTTATTTCAAGAGACAAAAATGGGATGTTTGTAAGGAGGATCATTATTTAAGGCAAAACTCCAATTGAAACCACGATACAAACAGTGGATATCTTCTTAAACTGGATTGTGTGACATTGCACATGCTGCAGTATAGTGGAGGTGAGAGAAAAGCACAGATTAAGCATGCTGCTTTTTATCATCCGTATCGTCAGCTTAAAAACCAGTGATATAGTATTAGTGAATGGCACGATCTGAGGATAAATTTGAATCAAATGTATAGCATATTGACTCCTAGCTTCCAGCTCAGCTTTTTTAGCTGAGCAATAAGCCTTAACTGCAACTTTTTCAAAAAGGGAAACATCTGACTTTAAAAAAAAAAAAAATAAAAAGAAGTGGCTGGGCATACATTACAGCTCCTCAGATTTATTAAGAAACTGAAGATGACTTATCTTTTAACTAGGAGGGGGGAAAAAAAGCAGCCTCTTTGCAAATGACTATAAAATCCTCTAAAAAAACTGTTATTTTGGCAGTGCAATATTGTTCTAAAGTTTGCTGCTGATCAGGGACCTTCAGGAGACCGGAACAATTTTAAAGACTCAGTGATGGGTGCATTTCCAATTAGAATTTGGTGGAGGATGAAGGGATTGGTGTCTCCAATCTGCAGTAGTAAAGAGGAAGTGGAATAATTGCCTATAAAAGTTTATCTAGGCATCTCTTCACTCAGTAGGAACCACTTAATTTAGAACTAATGTTCAGGGATGCCAGACATCCTGAAATCCCATATAAATAAGAAAAGAACTTAATGCAGGCTGCTCACTGTAAAAACCTCCAAAAGTCTGGAGTTTGTGCACAACAGCTCTGCTTGAAACACAACTAAATCAATCTCATCACCTTGGCTGTAGTTGTGGAAAGGCAGTTGTTAATTTTTATGCTGCCTGGCAGGTACCTGGCATAGCATCTGATGATTTTGGTGCTGCTAGTCCCCAAGATTCTCTTACATGTTGAATACTCAGTACTTTTACGTAAAGTGCCACTTTTTACAGTCAAGTACCTGGAAGGTAAAGAACCAGCAAATGTGTTTGTGTGTTTGCTTTTTAATTGTCTCACGTAGGACGTGACCTGTTAGTTTGACTATTTGGCTTTGCTCATACAGAGGTGCTTTCTTTTAAGACCAGATCAGATCATTACTATACATGAAGAGAAAAACCCCACAGTGAATTGTATTTCAAAGTAGCTCGCAAAATAAATAAAAACAAATATTCTTTTAGCATACCCTACTGCAATCCTATGGCCCTAGATGTTTGTATGTTGGGAATTCATAAGGAAGCTTAAGTCTGACATCTCTAGTGCAGAAATGATTATGTAAATTTTTCTGCCAAATTGTGAGAGCAGCAGGAGAAGGAGGATGCTTCTGACTTTGCTTCTTTAAAGTACATTATTCATCAAACAAGCAAAGGAAAACAAGTCTTAGGCAGTTAATATTTAACAACAGTTGTTACTGCTTAATGTCTTTGGGCAGAGGTGCAAATCCTATGGTATTGCAGATACCACTTCAGTTTTTAAATACAGTAGTCAGTCAAGTGGAGTTTTTAAAAAACATCTTTGCTACACTTGTGCTGGCAAGTTGCAAGTTTCGTCCATGAAACAACTGCCCCTGTCTCACAGCAGTTCCTCCATATCACCTCGTCCAGACGCTAGCGTGGCTGTCCAGGCTGGTGGCGGACTTGACGCTGCAGCGTTTCTTCACTATCATGTTGATGTACGCTTTCATGATCTTTATTATCTCACCCACCTGCACAGGGAACACCAACAGAAGGGGAAGCACACTAAAAAAGTATTCTGTTTGCAGAGGTGTACCAGAAATTTTACAGAAAAAGATTCCTCACTTTCAAAGTCATAGCACAATAAATTTTGAATGTAGTACTAAATGCGAATATGACAGGAAGGAAGGCAAGAAAGAACTGGGCCATTACAGTACAGCTAGGCACAAATGGAACAAGGTGGTTAAGATCTTTAGATGAAAGCATATTTTAAGAAATAGAAACATCTAGGAAAATGCTATTGACATTTCAATAGCTATTTCCATGAAAATATCAACTTTGAGATTAACGGAGATCAGAATGCCTGAAAACAGGATCAAAGACGAAAACAAAAAAGGCCATCATTACTGTAAAACAAAACAAAATCCAGTCCCCTTCTTTACCCCATCTCTGTCAGGATGTATAAAAACTAGGAAAGACACAGAGACTGAAAACAAGAGCGTTAACAGCTTTGTGGTGGCTTCTGTACACAGAACTCCTCATACTGGAAGGAAATGAAAAACATCCCACTCATCAGCATTCAGTTTTCTAATTCCACAATAATAATATGCTTAGTGTACTAATTAAAACTATGTGTTTTTTTTTTAAATTCCAAATGTCCATGAAGACCACTCAAACCTCTGCTTTCTAATCATCATCATTTTTTTTCTTATTTATCCCTGTTCTTGTACTCAAGAACACGTGTCATGGCACTTCAGAGTCATGGCACAAAGCATTATTCAAGTATTAGTAAAAGCTCACATACAACACATACCTGGGATGTTTCAAAAAACATTTCTCTCTCATCCACTGTAATTTTGAAGGTGTTAGGTTGTGGTGCTCCGAAGAAAACAATATGCTCATACTGGAAAGTTTCTAGAGGTTTAGGATCTCCTCGTTTATAGATAGACACATTTTCTGTGCTTACTCCAAGCCAAAGATCATTTGGAAATCCCCCTTCCTTACACTGCAAGAACAGAGACATGAAACTGTGCATTAATACAGTATAGAATCAAACCATTTTGATACAAGGGAAAGCCCTAATTTCTGGTTCCCTGTAGCAGCTCTCCAATCGAACAGAGACAGAGATGGCATCTTGCAGACACTCCTGCTGCAAAGATTTACAAAACACATGCCTTTGAGTCTTATATTGAGAATTCTCATTTCATCTCCTCTGCTGGGAGAGATAAATACCGGGTAAACAGTAAATAACTGCAATACCTAGCACTTCTCCTCAGATGTAAAAGTTCCATATTGTTTGCTTGGAATGTCTGCAGCATTTGTTTTATTGCTGCAGAACATGGCTACAGTTTTTGCCAGCAAGGACAAAAAAGGACAATAAAATTTTACTTTTCTTTTCCTTAGCCACCACACTACTAAGCCCATAAGTTCTCTCAGTGTCATTGATTTCTACTGAGAGAGGGAATTTGTGGTGTCCTTCCATTCACCAGGACACACGACTTTGCTTGCTCAGTACCCCTCAGTGGGTAGGCACTACTGCATGCTTCACACTTAGCTTAAAGAAGGCAAATGCAGCCTATTCCTGAAATCCCCTTATGCTCTACACATACCTGCCTGTTATTCATGACAGTAGTTACATGCACTTCTACATCTCTCACCTCAACATCAAAGAGGGTTGATCCGTAGCCTGGCCACTCCTTTACAATGGACATGTATTTCACCATGGCCTGATGCTGAGAGAGTCCATGCAGCTTGGTCCATTTCTGTGCTATGCTCGCCCGAGCAGCTGAAAGCTCTTCCTTCACCCACATCTCCATCATCTGCTCCTCTTCTACTTTCTGCTTCTTTACAGAGCCTGTCTTGAAGCTCCGTTTTAATGTCCCTTCAAGGAAGCTGGTCCGTCTCCTCTCCAACGTGTGACTGCCGCTGCTCTTGGTGGAGTGCAGTATTTTTGATTTTAGCCTGTTAACTGGGTAGACACCATCAAGGGTCCAGCTTATTTTGGAATAATCTCCATGAAGGTACTGCAGCCGTAGGGCAGCGAGGCGCTGCAAAGTGTCCTCTGGGGCAGGAAAATGGCCGTCTATGAGGCTTTCATGGGCCTACAGGCAAAGAAAAAGCCCCCAAACCCATTAGAAATAATAATAATAATAAAAACACACATTATTAGTATGTGCTGTAGAACAAAGTTCCAGCAGGGAACATAATTCAATAGACCAGAGCAGACATCCTAATAAAGAGAAGAAAAGGAATTGGAATGAACTGCAATATGAAAATTTTGCAATTTATTGAATGAGCAGACTAGGGACATCTCTTCTTACAAGCCCTAGGCTGGAAAGAACTTTCTTATGAACTCGTGTCCTTAAAGACTTGTAAGAAGGTCTTGCTAGATCACAGCAGGTGGATGAAAGGAGAATTGAGGCAATTTCCTTGTGCCAGCAGCAGTTCCTATGTGGAGACAATACTCAATACCAGATAGAGTTAGATGCAATAACTTAAGGCTTTTAACCTAAGCCTCTTCTGTACCAGAGCCTCCCACCTCTTCCTCTTTGACCTGGTGTTTCCCTCAATCTTCTTGCTTCCTTTCACTTCTTTTTTCCTCTGTAAAACTTATTTTTTTAAACTACATCTATCACATATTAGAAAAGTAAATCAAAAGGTGAAACCAACAATCCAAGACAATAAAATCTTCGATTCAAACCAGCATTCTCACTTCTAAGGTAAAGGTAAGCTACTTTTCAATATACTCACTCTTGTGTGCTTCATGCCACCTTGGAAACCAAATACACTCCCATGACCAGCTTACCTGCTCAAACATGAAAGCAAACTCCACTCCATCTTTGGGAACATTCTCAACATCCAAGAAACAGTAAAGTTTAAAATATAGCTGCCATTGTCCTTCCTCCTCTTCCTCCTCAGAGCCAGCAAGTCTGTAAAACAGGCAAGAGAACGAGAGCTGAAAACACAGGAGTCATAGTAGTAAGATATCTACAGTGCAACTGCACAATATAAAGGGTATCCCTGGATTTCTGGAAAGAGCACTGAACTGCCTGGTTTACCAGGACAATTTCTTTGCAACTTCTATTTTTTTTTCCTCGAGTTGCATAAAATTTTGATTTGGAAGGATAAAAAGTTCTTACAAGATAAACTTCATCATATCTTTAGATCAAGGGTCCCAGCTAAATGCATGGGTTAGGAGAGGCAAGACACAACATACTCTCCACTTTTCAAGATAACTGTTTCCATGTACTGGTATGACTGTGAAAAAGTGTCACCCTTGCCAGCACTTGGAATAACCTTATTTTTTTTTCAGAATAGATAAAATAGAGAGTGGCATTGCCAGCTTCCTCCACAAACTACTGCTGTGTTTGTATGCTGGCCACAAAATCACAGTCCACAGTAGGAAATCTGAGCTGTGTTTATATTCCCGCTGTGATCATTTCTCTGCTTTCTGATAGAGCTCTTGTGATGTAAATCGACAGATCATTATCAGAGGTAGTTGATACAAAGACATTTTTCCCAGAGGGCGCTGGGCTGAGTCCCCTGAATCATTTATCCACGCAGATTAATTTTCATATGCAGCAAGCGACAACAAAATGCAGCCAGGGTCTTCAAAGCAAGAGGCGTTCAATCTTATATCCCCGTGACAGCCCTTAGGAAGGGCATACATTCATATGCAGTGCAAGTGCAGCCACTGTTTGCAACTCCCAAATGTCTAGACACATCAAAGTGATTTCTGATGGTTACAAGTATATCATTCAAAAAATCTGACAAGCAGCAACCTTATTGCCTTAACGCTTTTATGATCTTCCGCTATCATGGCCAAGGAGCTTTACAGATCGTGTTTGTCTGTGTTGCCCATATTAACCCACTACATCCATCACAGTGACACAAGTTATTATGCAAGAAAATATCTCAGTTTGTTGATGTCCCATTTTATTAGCTGTCAGATCTGCACATACCTTTTGGTACTTCTGAATGCATAGTCATTACTGAATACCTCATTTGTCCTACCATTCCTGCCATGGCAAGTGTGCCAGGAGGCAGTATTCCCCTTGCACAGAGAAAGAATGATCAAGACAGCAGAGTGACTGAATTCGCCCTCCATACTTTTTTATACACATACTACTAATTTTGTCCAAGCAGCTGAATAAGTAACATGTCTGTCATTGAAATAGATGTGAGCGAGCTTTTTTTTCCCCCAACAAGTTACTTGCCAAGAGTTGGCAAAGAAAAGACCTGATATTTGTTACAGGGAAAAAGCAAGATTTATGGTCATTAAAAGTGCTGTGGGTTAAGGACTTAACAGCTCTTCATTCAACCAAAGTATTCAGTTGTTATTTACTAATACGAAGATAATTGGTTGTGTAAGTTGTCCATGTCTATTCCAGTAGCATGCAAAACAAATTAATGATTTGCAGTGGCATCTTTTTTGTTCCACTGTGGCACAGTAGGAGCATTAACGTATTAATTTCTGACTCCTGGCTCTGGACCACAGTGAGAAAGAGCACTTGAACCTTACTGAAGGGAAGGTCTCGCCAAAGCAAACGCTTGATTCACTTCAGCTGCTTTGGAAAATACTACTCGAGGGCACACTCACATAACCCAGGGCTATGTCTTGTGAGGAATTAAGAGGAAGGGTTCTATTAAACATTTTTTTTACCTCTCAAACTTGGCCAGGATATCAGCCACAATAACCCGACTCTCAACAGCACGATCCACTTGCTGATTATGTTCAAAGAGAGCAAACATATTACGGCTGTCCTCCATTGCTAAACCTCGGATCAGCTTTTCAACAACCTGCAAAATCAGAGGGATATCACAGAGTGGATATATACAAGACATACAAGCAAGCTCATTGGCCAAGAATAAGAAGGAAAACAAATACTTTGTGTTTGTGAGCTAATCAAATCAACTGCCTGTGCAAATGGAAGAATCCCGACACTAGCAGCCGGGAACAGAATGGGGAGATGTTGTTGAGAGCAGGATTGGGTGATGGAAGCCAGTTTAGTTTGACTTACAACATAGCAGCAACCATTCCGTATCAAACCACACGTCTATTTAAGCCCAATTCACCTTTGATAATGATTAAATCTGATGCCCAGTAAAGAATATATATACACACCTGACTTCCAATAATTTACAGTTTAGGATTCTAAGGCAGATATGGTTTATCTGTTGTCAGAAACTCCATGTGAATTTCTTTTCCATGAACTTGATCAGATTATTCTTGAACCCCTGTAAACCTGTAGGATATACTACATATTCTAGGTGTCCTTACACAGCGGTGTCCTTGCATGTGATTAACGCTACTAAGGCATTACCTCCCCAGCGCTTGTGTGAGAATTGATGGTGATTTTGCAGGAGCCACCGCCGTGGCAGTACACGGTGGTGGTCATTTCTTCACGGGTGAGGAGAGCCTGTATTTCCTCCTGGGAGGGCACAAATTCCCGGGTCTTTGTTCTTTTCAGGGAATCACTGATGAATTGGGCGTATCTGTCTATCTCTGAGCCTGGAAAGAGGTCTTTTACCCTAGTTGGAAAGAAAAGCAAAACAGTCAATACACAGAGCACCAGAAACTAAGCAGGTTACCATTTAGCTTGGACTACTGTAGGTATTCAGGGAACATGGTGATGTCAAGTGCAAAAACAGAAAAAATGAGCCCATTTGTGTCCTAAAAACAAACCATACAGAATGCTTTTACAAGTCACTGAAGAGTCACGTTGGTGGCATTTCTTGATAGTGCATGAAATAAGGAGATCAAAGTTTAAGGAGTTTAAAAACAACAGAATATAGTGGGACAGACTATGCCAATTTACACAACTGAGACGAAAAAGAAAGAACTTTTTTTTTTTGGTTTATTCATTTTTTTTTTTTAAACTAGCTGAGGCTTAAGCCACTTCTACAGTATTTTTGATAATCATGAGGGTAGGAAGTTGTTCCTTTAGATGCTCTCTTCCCCCCAAGGCCAGAAATTTTAAATATGATATGATAGGCATTCCCAGGGATAGAAGTGTAAAACGGCAACATACAGTATTACTCATCATCCCTTGCAATGAGGCCTAGGATGTCTGAAAAGTCCAGCTTTTTGGAGCAATAGCGTGAATTTCACCTCATTGTCTCCTAGTTTGGAAGCAATCAAATATATTTTATTGGTCTTTCTCATCTGTCACCCATGGGATGAAGCTACAAACCTCACACCCAGTACAAGCTGTCTTAGAACGTTGCATTAGGTGCTTAACATGAATTGTGGAGGAAAATGAAAACGATTTAGTTAAGGCAAACTTCAAGTTAAATACAAATACAGCATTAAGTAATACATGCTTAGTGAAGCTAAGAAATTAAAACATGGTAAGTTGAATTTACAGGATATCTAGTACTCCACAGTATACATGCTTCACCTGTGATGACTGCAAGGTGGCACATACTTGAATCAGTGTGAAATGCAATTCTCACCTTCCCTGCAGACTGGGAATGGTCATAAGGACTTTAGTAATCAGTAGGTGATAGGTTGTAAACCCACTTTAAGAAGATCCCATGGTATTCTTCTTGGGTAACCTTACTTTCTACATCCTTTTGACACAACAGATGGGTAGCAAGGGGTGAGGAGGCGAATACAAGAGAAGAGCAGGTAGCAAGAATTGTGCATGAAGGTGAGTGGCTGCAACACCTAAAGAAGATGCTCTTGCCCAGACAGAGGGCAAGTACAGCAGGTACTAGGGGTTAAGCACAGAGAAAGGAAAACAAGCTACAAATAAAATGGACTTTTACCTTCTAAGGTGGAACTTGAGGTAGCGAAGGATCCCTCTACTGGGCAGAAACGTGCAGCTCATACATGACATGAGCTGCCAGTGGTGCAGATTCCCAGGACTGTTGGGATGTGGCATGTGATTAGTTTGTTTGATGAGCTGACAATACACTTCATCACGCAGGGGCTTCAAATCATGGCAGGTCTGCAGGATGCCTTGGATAATAGGTATGGGGTCAGACACTGTCTCAATCTCCTGAAGGGAGTTAAAGATCTTCACTGCTTCATCCTGTAAGCTGCTGTAACCCTTCTCTTGTTGCACTGGGGAGTGATCACAAACAGAAGGGACAAGAGGTGAGCATTTCCTCCATTTCCTATTGACTCAGCAACAAGACTAATGACTATACTAAGTTCTGTAACAGAATAACATCAACTTGAGGATCTGCTTCTTTCTTCTCCTAAACTTAAATTTCTACTTAGAATTCATGAGCACATCCCTTTTAAATGTGAAAATGCACTTTCAATGAGTATTTAGCTTGTTGTCACTGTACTGAAAAGCAGTTTAAAAGAAACCAGCACTAAACAAAACAAGCAGGTCCCAAGTTCTTATTCTTAGCCATTCTAAAGTCATTCTTCATCTCTTGTGAATAGTTAAATAATGGACTCATTTATGAACATGTCAAATAACATCAGTGGTACCATAAATCTCTGCTTAGCTCTACTGATGATGGTCCTTTGCTAGGTAACTCCATTAATTCCTATTTTCCATTTATTCAAAGGTCTTAATAACCAAATAGGAGTGCTTATTATAGAATCATAGAATCCTTGAGGTTGGAAGGGACCTTTAGAGATCATCTAGTCCAACCCCTCTTATTGGAAAGTTCATTTATTGAGAAGCCTTTAATGCCATCTAGAAGACTTGCTGGAAATCTATGTGAACTATAACAGACGGATCATCTTCACCTGTAAGCCTCAGCAGTTCCTTGAAAGAGCTCTAATGAATTTTTAAGTATGCCTTCCCTTTGTAAAATGCTTACGAACTCTTCACCTAACATTCTGCTTCATTACAGATTCTACAGATTTTGGAAGTCAGATTTATTGATATATAATTCTCCAGGTCCTTCCTGAATCCCTTTTGTAAGCTTTTTTTTTTCTTTTTTCAAAATGCCATTTCAAAATGCCAAAGGACAAATTTAAGTAAGAGATTGTTTGCTGTGCTTAATATTCAGCTATTGCCCTCCTAATCTTCCTTCACCTGGGTGACTAGTTTGTTATTACTCATGCTATTGACTTGCTCCATCATCTCTTACTGACATTTCAGTTGGCAGAAATTCTCTGATGCATCCATCTAATATTTCCTAATAGAACTTCACTTTGTAAGGTCTCTTCAGTTTTCCTAAGAGACAAAGCTGGGGACACAGAGCACAGAGAAAAGCAGCCCTCTCTCTCTCTGACCTCTGTGGCATGCACTGTGTCAGGTAGATTCTGCTTGCAAAGAGAGAGGTTAAAGACCACTTTTGCAATACTCAGGCTCTGTACTGGTACTCCAGAAAAGAAGAGGTTTAGTGGACTCCGTCACGCAGGTGGAATACTTACAATTGATGCTAACATCTCCATAGGGTAGTGGGAGCAATGGGGAATGCAAAGGGTGCTGAGTGTATCGCAAGATTGGGTTTCTCCTATATGTCTGTTCCACTACTTCAAAGTTCATACTATTTTCCTGGGAAAAAAAGAAGAAAAAGAATTACTATCAAATGGAGGTAATTGTCACAAGATGCCCTTAATTTAGGTACAAGCTTGGTTGCCTTTATCTAGCTTTCAGCAGGACTAGATGAGTAAAGCATAATTCGCAAATTAAAATTACTCTGTTCAATTAAAATTAATCTGAAAAACACATGCAAGAATAACTGTTATACCAAAAAACAAGCCCAGGATCTTGACTACAGCTATAGGCCTGTGTCTGATGCCCAATACAGTCATACAACAGAGGATTATAGCACTATTCCTCCTTGGTACACCCTTCAAACTTCCAACAGTTAATGCATCGTGGACTTTCTGACAACAGATCCATCAAGTTTAGTATCCTATAATGAGCCTCATCTCCCTGAACCTGCTAGGCTATACTATATGTGATTAGAGAGAGGACAACTAGAAAGGACGTGGTATTAAGAATGTGGGCCTGACACTACTGTATACATTGGCATGATATTTTTCGCTATTTTGTCCTATGTTCCTTCCCTAATAACTCCTAATGTTCTCTTTTTTTTCTTTTCCTTGAATGCTAATCCAGTGTTTTCCAAGATTCTCTTCCTGAATGGTTACTATCCACTCCTATCTAGTTCAGGGCAGTGTGTCTTACCACATTCACATTACTTTGCATATATCAGCCCTGAAATTCATCTATCATTTTGCCCAAGTTACACAAATCAAAAATTCCTTGCAACTTCTCACAACCAGCTTTAGTTTTGACTATTTTAAGTAATTTACTTTTGTTCACTTATGAACCTGCTGAATGGCACTGCTACCAGCACACGAGCACATGGCAATCAAACCAGGGACTCTTCTCCAATATGGAAACAAAGCACTCATGTGAAGCCCTGGATCTTAATCTTTAACTGATCCTTCACCCATGAGAAGACCTTCTTCCTGTCCAGTAACAGCTTAACTTCTTGAGTGTCTCTGCTAAAGACATGTCGAAGTGTTTTGAAATTCAAGTAAACTGTATGACCAGGATCATCATCATACACATGACTCCGGCACTGCCAAAGAACACTGGGAGATAAACACAGAATGACTTGTTGGTATTTTCCCAAGCACTCAACCAGTCTTTTTCAAAGCCTAGTGTCATGCTTGCTACTTTCCATTTCTTTGTTTTGGGTATTAGGACCAACCTAAGCAGCGGGTTACATACTATAGTCAGTAATTCCGTAATTTCGCATCTGAGTTCCTTTAGAGCTGCAGGTTTAATGCCATTTGATCCTGGTGATTTTGTTCCACAGTCTGGTATCTCAATTAGCAAGTTTTTCAAATGTTTCCGCTTTAGAGACAGGCTCTGGTGCTTAAAGTTCTCTGAGTGTCTCTGTAGTCATCGCTGATGCAGAGAATTACTCAACTTTTCAGATAAGCTTTCCTTAGTAGTCTTTACTCACTTAGCACGTTGTTCCTTAAATATGCTTTGGCCTGTCCTGTATTATGATTCTAATAATTATATTTTACTTTGTGAAAAGAAAAGCCCTTTCCAATATAATCACTTGGCACAGCTTTTGCTTTTTTGGAGTTTATATTTTTGTCACCCTTTACTATTTAACCACATTGGTGGAGGTTGTGAAGAGGACAGTAGAGTACATGGAAGCCTCATGGCTGGCAGGAACAGAAATCTTTATATTTGTTCCAGGAGGATGATAGGGAAGAGGAAAGGGTGAAGCTGGGCTTTGCACATGCCTGATGGTCTAAACCTGCACGTAGCTGGTAACCCCACAGCGTCTGTGGCCCAGACTCCTGCAGGTCAGTTTACGTGCTGAAGTGCAAGATTTGATTGTTCAGTTACACAATCATTTAGGTTTCTTCTCCATTTTTCTCCTCTAAGACAGCAACCCTGTCTCTTGCCACATTCTCCATAATGACCAAGTCAGCCCAGTGGTGATGTGGCTGCTCCCAACTGAGTGGGGAGTCAGCTTGATGCCACCTACCCTGATGTCCCGAATGAGTTGCTGGGTAGGAGTTTCTATAGGAACTTTGCTGTCAATGACCCCTTGAATGGCAGAGGCCCAGCGCATAGCTTCATTCAGCAGCTTTGTGTACAGTCTGTACGAATGCTTTCGCCCATGGACAATGATGTTCCAATAGCCTGTGAAGACACAAAGAAGCAGGACACTGAACTTCTTTCTGCTTTATCTTCTCTTCCTAACTGTGGCCAGTGGCGTGGAAAAACCAGTGCTGCTTTGACAGCAACATATAGTGTGGTTGGTTAAAAGAGGCTGCTTTAGACAGTAGTGTTCCCTCACTCCCAAAGTAGATTTATCGGCAAGAAGGCCCCAATCTAAGTTTTGGCACAAACACAGCTTTCCAAGACCAAGCGTTTCACAGGATGACATGAATGCTTCTCTACTGACCAGGCAGTTCACTTTCATAGTCCTGATTCTGACCACACTATACTATTAATCAGTCAAAAACTGAGTGCTGAGTGCAGTTTTTGCAAACAGCAGACAATCCACTTGGATTGTCAAATCCATTCTCATAACTTTTTAAAATCATGTATTTGACATAAACTGAGGTAACAGGCCACAGCAATGCAAGTTTGCTATGTGCAGCTCAAGATCACAGCGATGACAATTTACTCTGCTATGTGCAGCTTGAGATCTCTTTTGAAGAGACAAATATGAAAGAATTAAAGTGGGTAGAAGAAATTTCTTGTCTTTACTGTACAAAATGCACCACAGCATCCTGTTGCAGATTGCTTCCAGACCCTTTTAAAGATACCTCAGGTGACTGTAGTCCTCAAATTTCCAGTAATTCTAGCTTTGTTCTAATCTTTAGCTTCTTTGTCAGGGAGACTCCAAGTCTTCATCCCCAGTCCCCTAACCCCACTTCCACCCCAAACTTATAAACAAGCAATATTAATAAAGCTTTATATTTGAGCTTTATGACTCAGACCCCTTCCCTGTTTGGCAGGCAGAGATATTAGTGAAAAAAATACTGTCTCTGTCAGGTGTGAGGGCACTACCATCACTTGCACACCATTCTCTATCCCTTTACATGTCTCATGTTTCACATGGGCAGAGATATTTGCAGTGAGACCCAGAGCAGGCAAAAAAACATTAAGATTGCCTCTCAGCATGACACACCATTAGGTTCCTGCCCCTTGCCTCTTCGGACAGCTGCTGCAGGCTGCTACCGAGAGTCTGCTCAGGACTTCTGAGTGCTTTTTCCCTCTCACCTGTGTCTTTGAAGACCCTCTCATCAGGCTGCACGACTGAGCACAGGCTGTTGAGCACAAGCGTGCCGAGCTTGGCAGCGGTGCGCTCCGATGACTTGTAGTAATCGAGGGCAGTGTTTGTCAGCACAAACCAGCGCTTCTTCATCTTCAGAGAGGACATCTTGTTGCTGCTCTGGACCTCTTTATGAAGCCAGCCTAGCAGAGGAACAGAGACATGTCAACAGCTGGCTTTCACCACAAGAGGAATTCTGTCCTTTCCCTGGCGGCATCCCAGCTTTGGGACCGGGCCTCCAGCTCCAGGCAAAAGGCATATCCTGTGACCTACCTATTCAAAGGATGAATCTTGGTTTCTCTTTCCTTGGCTAGATTAAATCCTGTGGGCATCAAAATCTCTATTTCTGGTTAGTAATTTCCAGCTAAAAAACTGTTTATATTTGCAGCTATGAAATTGTCAATTATTTCAAAAGTTTGACTTACAATGTGTTTCATGTGAAATGTTACACAGTTCTACATCAGTCATCCTATGTAAACCCAAGTGTTTCATAGAAATAGCCGCCAGTCAACTGGGTATTTATAACCTCATTGAAGAAAACATGAAAAGTACACTTCTCCCATAGAGCCACCCTTGCTGATACTGAATTATACTTCTTCGCTCCAACTGATGTGATGCAGGACACCTGATGCTGCCGTGCATTCATTGCTCCATTTATGCAAGATCAGCAGCTAGCTTATTTAGTTTGCCTTAGCCAGGATATCTTGCTTACTGTGTTTAGAAACACAGGAAATTTCAGCTCTGTGAGATACTTCTATTTTTCTAGTATTTATTAAATTCTGACATAGCTGATCTAAAAAACTTTCTGGAAGACATAAGGCAATTTGCTCTGCACTTGCTTTCCACATATAGTGCCAGCAGTGTCTTTGTACATCAAAGACCACATGATGAGCTGAAAATACTGAGGAAATTTAAGAGACTGTTGGAGACAAATAGGAGAATATTTTGTAATACGTGTGTGATCAGTACTCATCCCTCAGTTCCTCCATCGCCAACTGAGCTCTAACTAGACATAATTTAAATCTTTCACCCAGCTTTAGAGAATTATCCTCGCCATGTTTACCACATGTTAGTCACATTAGTTTGCTTTACAAAGGAAAGCAGCTACCTAACAAAGATCTCCCTCCTTCCTTCTCTGCACGACAGGTGTCAGAAAGAACAGAGCTTCCTGAAAACAAAGATGCAGTGTCCTGTTATAGTCAATATAAGGCCAGCTGCTTGCAAAGGACAGCCCCTGCTCCCTCCCATGCCATGCTGACATTTGTTGGATAACATGTTGAAATAAGCTCAGGAACTAATACTAGAAAACTAAATATATAAAGAAGTGCTTTGTTTTTTTCCAATTTTAGCTTCCTGAACCCACCTGACATGGAGCCAGACAAGAGCTTGTGCCAGAGCAAGAAAAGACAGGGCAGGCAGCTGGCAGGAAGGTGGGGGGGCAGAGGATGATCAGTTTGGGGGAGCAGCTAAATTAAATCAGATTAGCTTTAATCAGACCTTATCCTCAGATCATAATCAAAACCTGAGTTTCATAAAATTTAATTGCATACATTTCTTTTACCTCTTACAAGGAATTCCTGTCCATCAACCTTAGATTCGCCTTTTGGTTTCTGCAGTAGGGAGATCCAGTGGTGCATCTCCTCAGGGGTGTCACTGTTGCAATGAATCACTCGATTTGCTGTGATGATCACGAAAGAATTTGGTCTGCCAGAAGACATGAGGATTAGAACTGGTCATAACCAGATAAATGTCTCAAGTCACAGCAGATGCAAAGCCAGAGTCGCAAAGAAAAAAGATTCTCTGAATACCAACTGTGGAGGGGAGAATAAATTCTGCCAGTGCCCAGTGTTTTACTGGGACACATATTAACTCTAAGGAGCCCCACTTCAGAAGGGGCTAAAACTTTCTACTTTAAAGAACTCTTTGCTAGCTACCAAGATAAGTATTTTCTGATCTAGTATCCAAAAAGTCCCTGTAACCTCAGAGAGAGAAGCAAATGATAGAAGTAAATACCTTAATAGCTAACATTTTAATTCAGTTGTGCAATGAGAAGCTTTGCCCTTGTTGAACCTGTTAACATTATAGGAAATAATTAAATGTTAACATAACATGATGTAAAATGTCCCATAATCTTTTCTCCTTAGCTAACCCATTTGTGAACTAGAGGTCTGTGCTGTGTTGCATTGCAAACATATTAGAAAGTATACAGACTTCTGAATTCATTTATTATTCTCCCAGTGTTGTTTTCCTCCATAACATCTCCAAATTTACAAGATTATCTTAAAACTACCGTTGAAAAACTGGAAAAAATGTCAGTTTTTACTGTCAGTTTAAACAAATGCAAAACCTCTACTGAAATCTGGACCGCCACACAAGAATAAGTCAGACTGCTTCTGATCTTGGAGATGCTCAAGTCACTGAAAAACAATCTGCACCTACCTATCAGGACTGTCCGAGGCACAGACAGAGTCAATGAGCCCAACATCCAGAGTTCCCTGTAAAGTGAAAAAGACACAGATTACAACAATTGCTTGTATCAAATTACAGACATTTTCCTTCTTGAATAGGTACTAAAAATGCTCTTCTGATTTCCAATAGTTTGAGTAGAAATGAAGAGATGAGAAAAGCAATAAGGGAGAATGAGAGAATCATCATGAAAGACTTCCTAAACAGCAGAAAAGGCGTGCAAATATTCCATGGAGCTGCAGGAAAAGAGCTGGAGCTTTCCACGCAGCATTGTAGAGATCTGAGATAATCCCGACTCCACATCTCAGCACTAGTAAAATACACAAAATATACTGTTCCTCTCACCGAATCTCTTGTGTCTAGTATAATTGAACCAGAATAGTCCCATAATACTTTAGCTGCATGAGGTATTCCTCCCAAAACCCAACAGAAGAGCCATAGGGTGATCAAACTCAGTCACCTTGGTCATCCACTACGTTCCTTACTGCCTCCTCTCTTTTCCATAAGCTTTGCTATTTCTTTTGAATAATCACCTGCCTTTTGCACATGGTTCAATAGCTACAGCACTGCATGTGCTGGGAAGACGTGCACGAAACAGTTAAACACAGATGACCGCAAGCATGCCCACAGACTGGTTGCACAGTAACTCACCACAGCATTCTTTGGATTGGCCTGTTCATCTTGCATTTCCCTCAGCTGCTGTGCTGTAGCACCGTGTACTCGGCTCAGGACGTTAAACCAACCACTGGCAATCAAAACAGACTAAAAGTTAAGATCTGGTAGTGAAAGTAGTTCTAGATGATCAAGGAACCCTGAAAGCTGCCAGGAAGTAGAAAAATTGCTTCATTCACAACTTCCTCACAATTATACTACAAAATATCTCTTGGGTATATCATACTAGACTAATGTCTTCCTTCCTCCCAATTTATCTATGAAAATTCTGTGCATGTCCTTTAACCCACTGATAGTTGTTCCCAAAAAATTCAGCTTTCTATTTGCTATTCAAGAAACCACAAAGCAGTCAGTTGTCCTGCTGAGGAGCACGTCAGGAGACTGTGTAGAACAAACAGTGGTTGTAAAGAGAGCATCAGCTGTGATCCTCCTGGACTAGAGCCCTAGAGATTCTTAGACGCCTTTTAACTAGACTGTCTCTGATCTGCTCATAAACTTGAAAGTTTTATGGATCTCAATTAATCATGAGTTAATCTGGAAGGAAGAGAATGAAGATATTTTTCTGTGAGAGGTTCCCATTACAGACATATCTGGAGGCCAAATCTCTTCTGCAAAACAGGCAGATTCTTATCTTTATCTTCCAGTGAATCAGCTTCCAGTGAGATCAACAAACATCTAGACTTTGTGGAGGATTCACAGATCAGCTGCTCTACACCATCTGCCAATCTGCCCTTTGCTCGTGCAAGTGTTGGCGATTCTCCTCCCTCACAACTGAGTTGTACTGACAGAGGCCACATTTGTGCTAGCAATTCATAACAGTTGAGGGCATGGCTATTCCAGCTGCAGAAGCTCTGGATTAAGAATTTACCATCTCTTCAGCTACTGCCTTCTGAATTTCCTCGTTTCTTGTTCATGTGGCTGGCCTTCACCCGTCTCTGTGAATTTGTGTCCAAAATATTTTCCCCTTTCTCCATAAATTCCCAAAAAAGTAACAACAAAATCCCTGAATAACTTCACAGAACTGATTTAAAGTAGCCCAGTAACATTTGCTGGAATTAGAGAACAGTAATCTGTAGTAAGAGTGGGAGAAGCATAAGCAGCTAGGGACAGTAACCTACCCACTGTCCAGAACAGGTTATCCAACCTGCCCTTAAATAACTGATTCTCATTGCATGGCCAGGACACCAAGAAGGAAGGACATGAGTCATTTGTTTGCTTTGAACTGGGAAGATTTTATCAGATGACACTACAGACTCTGATAAGCTGCAGCCTTTTCTCTGTCTCCTGGATAAAACCCAGCTGCTCTTGCAATCATTTACAGACAACATGAATAGATGTTTTGTTTGATTCAAGATTCCATTTAATAAATAAATCAGCTATTAGATGTTCCAGTTTACATTACGGTTTTGCCAGTCTCCTGAGGTAACCCTTGAATACAGTGTGCTCACAGCCACATGCAGAAGACCACAGTCCTGTGACTAACTGATAATCTGAACCACTCTCTCAGCAGCTGCAACAGGGTGTCCCCAGAGAAGGTGTGGTACCTTCTAAGCAGCAGAAAATGACCCCGAGGAGTGAATCCTCTTTTCTGTCTAGCAGAAGGGAAGTAATTATGATATTTCTCAAGCAGACACAAAGCTCTCCCACAAGCATCTGGGTCAGATTCACACTGATCGAGTCAAACAAAACTCCCGCGTATACCTGGCATCTTCAGGTGATTCTGCCACAATGTGATACACTCTGTCTTCTGTCACAATGTCCAAGGCATTCTCCTTCTCGTGAATATCCACGATCTCCCTGAAACACAGCAAATCACATGAGCCAGATACAGAAAGATTTCTGCAGGCATTAATTTCCTCTGGCCATTTTTTTTTTTCACACTGTACAACACAGAAAAGAAATTAATATATCAGGTGGCTTCTAACTTCAATAAAAATGCAAAAATTCTTATAATACACACAGACTTTTGCAATCTCCTGAAAAAGATTTGTACAGCTTAACTATTACAAATGCAAAACTTGAAAGAGTTAAATGGGTTTTCCTTAAGCTTCAGCAGATTGAAGGAAAGAAGAGATAGCAGGATCACGAGTTTATACAGCTATTTATGAAGCACAGTGAGCCACCCTTTTTGGTCCTTTATATGATCACGTAATGCTCATGTGTGACTTGCCTCTCCTTCAGCAGGAGCTGAGGAATTGGCTATGGCAGCAGAAAGAGCATCCAAGGCTGAGGAAAAGGCATAGTGCACATTGCCAAGATCAAATCCCACTGTGAGCTTCTCACCCCCTCTGTGAACTGCCTGGAGAAGCCAAGAAAGGCATAGAAAGAGGGAAGGAGAGGATTCATAGGGCAGGTACTGAATTAGCCCCTCCTGGTCTGGCTCCATCCATGGCTTCAAAAGAGCCTCTGCTGGATTATCACATGCAAGACTGGATAAAGAATGAGTTCCAAAATCCTTCCAGGGTTAAACTAGAAACTCTAATTGTGTTTTCTTTCTCTTATGCTTCTGATTCTTCCAGCACTATTGGAGATAACTAGAACAATGAACTGGCAGCACTGGAAATCTCATTATCCAACCAGAGAGTGAATACTAAGGATTGAAAAGATTCATTTTTCACTCACTTTGCCTTTCTAATATCGATTGTCCCCTTCAGCTTTTCCTCACTATCATTCTCAAAGTACATCAGCTTGGATTCTCGAAGCACAAACCAGCGGCGTTTCCAGTTGCGGCGTGAAAGTGTTGACATGCCGCCTCCTTTTTTGTAGAGCCAGCCTGACTTGAGCGCCTCTTGCTTGGTTCTGAACCACATGAATGCCTCATTCTTCAGAACACACCAGCGCCGCCTCCATGGGTTCATCAGGCCTCCTGCAAAGAGGGACAAGACTTCATCAGACACGCAGCAGGGCACAATTCTCTACTGTGATCCTCCTTTCTTGGACATTTAGTTACCAGTTCAGTTTCTACACTAAAAAAAAAAAAAAAGGAAAAAAAAAGGCGCTGAGGGAGATAAACAAAAATGTTTGTTTTGTTTGGACAGAGAAAAAAAAAATAAGCAACAAAACCCTCAGAAATAACCAGTGAAGTAAACATAAAATATAAAAAGGTCAGTGCTGTTCCTTATGTCCTTCTTTCTACATAGTCACATAGTTAGAGGTAATTGCACAAAGAGACCTGATAAAACTAACTCTTTAACTTTCTCGGCTAGATTATTCCAGTGCTAAACTTATCAACACTATGAAGACACTATGCATAACTATATATTAGACAAATTTACAGGCATATAAGTTCATATGCTATATACATATGCTACATACATAAATATATATATATATATATATGCATGCATATATAATATTGCAAAACATTGTAGAAGCCTACGGGCTTCACTACAGGCCAGTAGGAAGAGACTTTTTTTAAGAAGCCCGAAGTCTAAATCCTTCAGCCTCTTCTGAAAATCCCAGTCTCCAAAACAAAGAATTTATCTAGCTGTCAATGACATAAATGGTGTGATATCCTCTCCAGGGCTTCTTTCAAGTCTGCCTACAGTGCTTGATACAGGATCCAGTCATCTTGTGCTATCAAACTACTTGGCCATCTGTTACAGGAAACTGATACAGGAAACAGAGACTGGACTCCTCTCACTCTCAGCAGCTTTGAATCTTCTCTCCATTAACTCCTCACCTCAAAATCCTACAGATCATTCTTCTCCTCCTCCTTCATGTACTCCTCAATTATTTTTGAATAGGTTTCACGGTTGTAGATCAGAACCAGCCATTTAAATCCATACCCTGAACAGGTGGAAATATATCGGTCTCTCAGCCAAAGATACTCAATCTAGCTCCCTGCTATCCACTGTCTGGTTGCTCATTTTATTTGGTGGTATGATATAAAGGAAGACAGAGAAAGAGAGCACGCAGGGAAATGAGAGCAGTGAAAGATGATGATTTGAAGAAACAGAAGAAAGTGGGTTTCCTGGTTCCCATCATTCTGTGATTTTGGCTGAAGCTGCTTACCCTTCATGTAGAGATAGCTGTGAAAATAAGGCGGTCCTGAACCATTGAAGATGGTGACCCGTCCATTACAAAATTCTTCATCTGTATCTATGTAAACATCCACTTCCTCCTCACTGTCCAGAAACTAAAAGAAAATAAATAAAGGCTGCTTTGGTTCTCCTAGTCTCAGGAGAACTGGAGCAAAGTAACATGACTGCAGAAGTCTTATGATTAGAAGGCACAAAACCACACATACTCCCTTTATGAAGAAGGCAGTACAGGAAAATTGGAGGCTTGGCAGCTTACCCATTAATGCCTAAAGCAAGACTGTCCAGGGAACGTGGAATTTTTGTGCCAGAAAGGCTAGTGACATTTGCCAGTGGATACAGCTAGAAATCTCCAGTTACCTGCAATAACAAACCTTCCTCTTCCATGGCTCAGCCAACAGTTCAAAATCTAATTTAATGGGATCAGGGGAGAATTTTCCAGCTGGGAGGATTTTTCCAAAACTATCTGCTAGTAATATCCTCTGGCACTCTGTTGGCAGATAGGCTAGGATGCTGGGTAAGATGGAACATTGAACTACACCCATCAAGAAAATGACTACAACTTCCAATCGCACATTCTAGAATAAGTGAACTCTAAAGCACAGATCTAAATTACTGAAATAACATCACAGTGTTTATTCACCTCTGTTTCCCAAGTAGATAATGGCCCTCAGTCAAAAGAAAGTACTTCACACTTGAAATCCCATATAACCCTTTCATTTCCTTCATCTTAAACACAACTTCATTTGGCTGTATTAGTTTAATACTGACAAAGGTAGCAGTTCTTTTCTTTTCCCAAATGTGTGTTCTCCTTCTTCTCTTCCTTTGTGTTCTTTCTGCTAGCTCTTTGCTGTCTGTCCTTTCTGCCCTCCTCTTCTACTCATTCATTTTCCCTCTGCCATTAACTGTAAAAAGCAGGTACTGCTAGGTCAGCAAGTACTGATGTTATCCTGACTGAGATGCACTTAATTCTTTCCATGGTTTATGCCATGAGTGAATAGCACCTGAATTTTTCATGAGTTTTATTCATTCAGAAGCCTCAACTTCCATTTATAAGAAAAAAGTGTAGAAACTGGCCTAGACTGTGGTAAGCTATGAACATGAATAAAGTCATACTTCTGTTTGGAAAAGCAAAGGGAGTAATTCTTACCGAGTCCAGGCTTCCACGATTGGAGTCCATGCTGGTGCCATGGGAGTGTCTCAGGACTTCCTCACCATTCAGAGGCTCAGCTGAGGCACTACCTGCATCTCCACAGCCATCAAACTCCTCATGGTCATAATCAGATTCCACATCCACAGGTAAATTGTAAACTGGCTCTCCCACATCTCCACTGTTACTCCTCTGTGTATCTGAGACTGCACTGTAAATGCTTCCCCCTGGATCAGATAGGGCATTCTGCTCCTTTAGGCTTACGGTTCTTTCCACAGGTTGGCCTGGAGCAGCAACAATCTCTCCCACCTCTCTTTGGAAAAGTGATGGGTTTGTGTCCACAGCTTCCTCTGAACAGTTATTGCTGTTTCTTGTGCTGTGCTGATTCAAGACCACCAAACTGGAAGTTGGTTGTCCCTCATCATCAGCATGAAAGCCCTCATCCACTTCTTCTTCAGCCAATGGTGCTACCAGACTAGAGTCTATGTTGAGTGTTCCCTCACTGGAGAGTGAATGCTCTAAATTCTGAACGCTTTCATCCAAATTGCCAAAATCAAGCAGTTCCAAAAATTCCTGGGCAACCCTAGATGCCTCCTTTTCCAGCCTCTGGATCTCTTCTTCTCTCTGCCGATTGATTTCATTCCTGGTGCTTTCACAGATGATGGACATGTGATCCTCCTTCTGCTTCTGCAACTTCTCAATCTCCTTTTCTAGTCTTAAAATCTCCTCCATTTGATGTCTCTCTTCTTCTTGCAGGGGAATATCTGCTTCCTCAGTCTTTACTAGTTCCACCTTAAGAAATTTGTCACAATATTAAAGTTAATGCTACTTCTTTAACCTACAGGAGGTCATTATCTGGACCTTCCATTCTCCCTATCTCCTGTACTTGTCTTGCATTTCTTTTATGCAGAATTATTACGCTAAGTGTCCTCTCCTTTTCTGACTGGCAACTGCAATCTTCCATGGTATAAAAATTAAAGGTAGACCTGCTGGATCTTCGGCTACCTTCTTCTAAAACCTACTTCCTTTCTAAATAGGTCAAAATTGTTGACTGGAAACAGCGACTTTTTACAAGAGTCTGTATGTCAGCCACTCGGTATACTAGAATTTGGATAGAAGCATCCGCAAAGCCCTTCCTCCCTTTTTGGACCATCTCACATGCATAAATAAATTGCTATATTCTAATGTATCATCTATTCTAAACAGAATTGGCCCAAAATTGGGGAACAAATGGTATGGGAAAACAGACCAGAAGATATAAAGCTGTTTTCACACACCTCACATTAGAAGGTCTATTCTTCTAAAATATGAAGTAGCAACAAACAATTATATCAGTTATAAGGGGGTTATTTTAGCCGTGGCAACAGCCTTCAACACACTTTATTTTGCCTGTTACAGGCAACAGTCCAACAAAACAGACTGTGTCACAGTGCAGCACATCACAAGGTCATGTAATAAGCTGAAGTAGCAATGAGAAAAAAAAGGATGTTGCATGTTCAGGACTGAAAATATTTAAACAGGAACTATGCAAGCTGGTACATGAGTTGTGCAGGGAAAAAAAGCTCATTAGCTCTATGCACTTCTGCCAAAGCCAAACACCTGCAGGTGGTGACTGAACAAAGCACATTTTCTAAGCAGTGTTGCCACAATAAAGTAGATATATTAGCTTGAGGGGAAAGTGTAGGCCATGGAGGACCCTTCACAGATCCTTGAAGGAGACATATGGAGAGAATAAAATGTTAAAGTTACCTGAGCCACGTGGAGTAGAGCATTCAGTTGCTCCTTTTCTCTGCTAAAAACAAGATGTGACAGTCAGAGATACATGCAGCTCTCCTACTTGAAGCTTTTAGAATTACATGGACACATCATCTGTCCATGGGTTGGCTTAAAAGAATATAGTTATTGTAAGACAAAGAGTAAGACAAAGTTTTTTTTAAGTTAGTAAAACTCAAATTCTCCCGGGGATGGCATGTCCTTTGGTGATACAACACGTTTTCCACCCACACTTAACTTCCACATCAGCCAGAAAGCTGGACTAACTAGAACGTGGGAGGAAGGGCATTGGAAACAGGGACAGAAACCCAGATGAGTTAGATTCGTGATAAACGTACACTGAAGTCACTGAGCATAGTGGGAAGTGCTGAAAGTCTATGGATGTTAAATGAGGCTCTAGATATATAATTGACTGATTTCAAGAAGCTTTGTTAAAATCGAATTTACTATTGTAAATCAAGTGCTGAGACTGTGTTTTACATTCAGTATACTACTTAAACTCTGGAAGAGTTTACCAGATTTTTGTACTCTATGAAATGGCTAAGTGAAAGGCTTCCTGTCCTGAAGACCTCAGTCTTCCAGCTAACAAAACTTCTCAGTTTACAAGTAAACACTGTAAGAGCAAGAGTTTGCTAGTAAACATGGCTAAAGGAAGAAATTATCCCACGGTGCTGCAACCTCAGCCATACGAAGGCAGTACTGCAAGGGAATGCTGTACCCAGGACCACTTCGTCCATGGTCAGCATGCTACAACCAACTGACCCAGTAAACAAATGCCAGCAGTGATAGGATGTTGCTGGTTGGCAGCATCTTCCCATAGCAACCAAAATAGTTGTGTAGCTAAATTCAGACGGGCAGTGGTAGCTTTCAAACCTATAATTCATCTTGCTTAGAACAGGGCAACAATGGTTATTTCCCAGGCCCTACAGCTTTTCCAAGCCAAATTCTAAACTGCAGCTGCAAGTCACAATGTCCTCAGACCTCTCACTTTCTTCTCTTTCCTCAAAAAAAAAAAAAAAAAAAAAAAAAATTCAGGACATATTCTCAGTGAAAACTAACCTAAGTGGGACTAAGATGGTTCCATCTCTACTGAAAGATCTCTACGGGCAATAGCAAGTTAAGCAACTGCCTTGAGCGATATGAGGGTGCAAGAGGAGCCATTTCAAAGCCAATCAGACATGCCTCCTACAACCTGTACACTGATGAGTTCAGCTGGTCCTCATACATTCTAGACCTCTGATGCTTCTTGCTGGTCTGCATCTATCCTTACACTCTTTCTGGAATGTGATGCTTAAAACTAAGGACAGTATTCCAACTTAGCCATGCAAGGAGAGCAAAAGAAACACTCCACATCTTACAGAAAAATCTTGTTTGCATATAGCATCAGCAGGTACTCAGAATACTCGGCTTAAAGCCTCCAGACCATTTTACTGATGCTGACTTCTCTTTTCTGCATTTGATTATTCTGAACTGTACATCTGCATACTTGTCTATAATGAGTGTTAATCTATGTTTTCCAGACCATTTCTTCAGTTTGCCAAGATCATTTTGAATTATAATCCTGTCTGGCTACACCCTTGCAGACTCTTACCAGATGGTATTTTTTGAAAACTTAATAAGCATGGTCATATTTCATCGTCCAACTTACTATGAAAAAAAATGCATCAATATAGCATGTAGCACAGTCCTTTAGAATCCCCTTTTTTTTTAGCTTATGAAATAATGACTATCTTTACTAATAAAAACGCACAATCTGATTTATCTGAGCATTCTCTTAACGTTTTCTTTCCTTGCTTTCTGACTTGGCTTTTGGAGGAAACCAGAGACTTGTGAACTTTAGCATAGCCTCACAGTGCTAGGTCTTCTTCAATACTCATTTTCCATCCTGCTTTTCCATTCTGAGTCACCTGCATCCCACTCCACCCCTGTCCCAGCACTGCGACACCGTCTCCGGGAATTGCTGTCCCATGTCATTGTCATGCCAAGGCCACAGCCTCTCTTACACCTGGCAGTTTCAGTGCGAGGGAACTATGAGCGCAAGATACTGTGCTGTACCTTTCCTTCAGCTCTTCCTCTTCCCGTTTCCTCCTACGCTCCTCCTCTTCTTGCCATTGTCTTTCCTCTTCCTTTCTTCTGATCCGTTCTTCCTCCTCTCGCCTCCTCTTCTCCTCCACTTCCAGTTTCCGCCGCTGTTCCTGCTGTAGCAGGTGCTGGTAGAGGCTGCGGGCCAGGTGGCCACGCCAGTGCTTCTGCAGGACGACTGCAGAGGCCTTCAGTCGCAGCAAGGTCTTCTTCCAGAAGTACGCCCGGTAGTTCTTTTGGATTATAACAACACTGGCTAGCACCTTTTGATACTTCTTCCTAAAAACAGAACCAGACATTTAGCAGGATGAGAAGTAGTTCATACACCACATCTTCCAGGTCTTGGTATATCAGCCAACCTTATCAAATGGACAAATAAACGGACCCAGAAAAATACTGCTCAGGTATAAGCAATTTCTTTTCCTCTGCTACTATTACCCATAAATCTTTTTCTTCTCTGTCTTCACTCCTATGTCTGTCACTGATTTCTGTTTCCACAGGCATCTACTTTTGTGGAGACTATCTGAGGAAGAATGACAGATATTTGGAACACGAAAAGAGAAGGTCCACAGGCCTAACGCCTACTTGTATTGCATGCACATGCTGTGTAAGTAGCATGATGACTCAGTATGGATTTATTATATAAAAAATACAAATCGCCTGACTGTCTGAGAACAAATCTTGCCCTATCTTGCCCAATATCTCATCTTTTAAGCTGTCAAAAGGAACTCCAGGAAAAGTGGGTATAAAACAGGGCAAAATAGATCTTGTCATATTTATCTGGTATTATTTATGGGAAAACAGAGTGATACAAGTTTCATTGCTGAATGTAAACTTGTTAACGTAACAGGCTTCCATAAAGCATGTACTTATATTGAACAACATTTTGCTTAAACAATAAAAAGCACAATCAGTGTGTAACTTTAAAGAAACCCAAAACATGGTTAAGGCCCAAAATAAAAGAATCATCATTCACTATGTTTCTAGTCTAGTGTAGTCATAACACAGTCCTTTCCTGCCTCTGCATTACTGAGCAGATTTACTAAGAACCTGAAATAATAATAAAGATCGCTGGTGGAATTCTGTATGTGATACAAAAATTGGGCAAGGAACAAAAATGTGACTGTTACACAGTAATCTGAATCAATTTGTAAACTAGATTCAAGCAAATATTAAACTATCAGAGACAGATATAAGGTCTTGTATCAAGGAAATAAAGGTCAAACACATCTGATGACAGATTTTATGTCAGGAATTAGAAAGTTAGATCACAGGAATCATCGGTTGAAGGCAATCTCCCAACACAGTACTACAGAGAAAAGGCTACTGGGATTTTTATACTTGCAAGCAAGGATAATGTGTAGGAGGAGTGCACTGCTACTTTTATCTTGTGTTCAGTGCTGGCACTCTGCTTCAAGAACCATGTTAGAATCTCAAGTGATTAATGAGAGAACAAAAGCAGAACTGGAAATCTTGACTTCCAGAAAAACAGATTTCAGAAGCTTGTTCCATTATCTTAGGGAGAAAAAGGAAGTCAAAGAATGCCTTGGTCCCAGTCAGCCATTTTAAGGGCACTTCTATTTATCTTTAGAGGAAATAACAAGATTCTATTGACTTGAAGATGAAGTCTATTCAGACTGGAAACAAGCTACATATTTTTACAGCATCTGAAAATATTTAGAGCCCTTAATATATACCTCAATATAGTGAAATTATCACTGGTATTCTTTGAATCAAAATACACCCTACTCCATGCCAGAATTTGCACAGGGAAATCCTATGGGCTGTATTACACAGGAGCTTAGAGCAACAAGCTGCAGTAATCCTGGGAGGTTTTACAGTCCTAGAAAGCATGCTGGAAATAGCACAGCATTCTCAAATATCCTTCACACAGACCTTCTGCAACCCCCTGAGGAAAAGACACACTTCAAAATCCCCTTCCTGGCAATCAAATCCTCTTCATACGGCAAACAGGGGCCCAGGCTGACAGCTTGCCACCTCCTTGCACACCAGATACATCAGCCTAGTCAATAAAATCAGGGAGGGTTGAAATAGTTGTAGTGTGCAGAGGTCTCTGGGTTTTTCTTGTTTTTTTTTCTATAAGGATCAAGTCAAAGGGAGGAAACACACAGTAAAGAAAAGGGAAACGGCGATAAGAATCAGAAGTTTTGCAGAATTGCACTTGGGCTGTGGTTCCCTCGCTCCTGCTCCGCCGTTCTCCATGCACAGGGGGTGCGAACAGCTGCATATGCACCCTCTGCTACGGCAGATATAAGCGCATCAGAAAGGGCCCCCTGACTTCTACAAAATGCATCTGCCAGAAACTGTCGAGTGCAACGTGTGCCAAGCCCTGCCCAGCTCCAGGCCAGCTCTGCCTCATAATCTGCCAGACTGAAGTGCTCCCTCCTTCCTCCTGACCACAGCAGAGCTCACATGCACAGCTCAGCTGGAACTCCTGCACAGCCCATGGTTCACTCCCCATGTTCAGCCTTCTACTCTCCCTCCTGCACTGCCCAAACAAATTCAGCCTGCAGCCCTCACAGAGAAGCTGGGAACATCCCGACCATGTATCACAAGAGAGGTCAGCATGTCTGCTAGCTCCAATGCTGCCTTTTGAATTTAATTAATTATTCCGTTGATGAACTAAAGTTGACAGTTATGTCTCTAAAGGCCAGAGACCACATCACTATTGAGTAATGTCCTATCACTTTCTTACCCTAAGCAATAAAGTCTGACAGGATGCAGAGACACTGCCAAATTTAGGCCAAATATTCTTCTTGGGTCCTGCAAGCCCAAGAATGGTCTTGTGCATTTTAGCTGGTAAAGCCTTCACCTGCAGCTCAGGAGTCCATGGTTTTTGCTACAGAAAGCAGGGTTATTTGCATGGTCTAAATGTTCTTATCTTACACTTTAGTGACCATTCAAGGAACACTAGGCTGCTGGGAGAGAGAGCAAAGCAAACCATCCATCCCTAAAGCTGCATCCTCAGACTCTCTGAACATGTTCACAAAGGAAAGATCAGTAAAATCCTTCTTATAACACATGTACCCTTGTTTGCTAGCCTACTTTGTGTGAGACCAAACAAATCTAAAGATACTTTTCCTTGCAAAACTAACAAAAATGGTATCAAACTGCCCAAAGTATTTGCCACTTGCCCAGAGGATCTCCCTCCCACTGGGCCTTCCCCAATACAGGTGCAGTGCAACTGGAAACTCTTCACAGAAGAGTTACAGGCTCTTTTCTCACTCCCTGCTCTCCTCCCCTGCAAAGCCCAGTTGCCTCCAGCTGCTCTGTCTGGCTGCACAAACATGGCTTTTTTCTGGAGGTGAGATCTGGAAGAACAACATGTGGGACAAGTAATCCAGATGTGCAGACTATAGACCATGGGATTTCTAGCCAGGATGAACACTGCTGCAACACTATCTCTGTCACAGCTCTACAGGCCAGTAGTTACCTTCCCAGGAACTCAGAAAAGCAAAAACAGAGTTTACTTGCAGAGATGTTCCCCAGAAAAATCAATCTTTCTGTGCATGTTAATGCTTACCCCTTTCTCCAAATGCTAAACAGAAAGTAAAATAGAGCACAGGCCCTGACACAAAGAACTTGCAATCTCATGTACAAACAATAGAGCTAGCTTATTCATCCTCCAAAGGGGAAACAAATGAATAAAAGCCCCCGGGACCGGTGTGTATTTTGCTGATATGCCACACTGGCAAGGTAGGGTAAAACCTTTGCACACATTTCCCAAAGCCGAATGAACTACCTGGTGACACTGGAGCTCTGAAGAGAGTCCCTGCTGAAACAGCTCTGCCAGCTGGAGATGTCACCTCCTCCCACCCCTGACTGACAGGCGTCTGGAGCAGAGACCAGCCAGGAAAGAGCATCTTACTGGGATTAAGCGTGCATGCCACAGCCATCAAGGAGTCAGCTGCAAGGGGCAGAGGAGGGGCAGCTTGTCTGCAGTTGGCTCTGCCAGCCCTCCTCTGGTCAGGTGCAAAAGGGAGCGGCTGAGAGGAGATTACGGGTGCAAAGTTGGCCAAAACCCAATTTTGAAGAGTTAATTAAAAGGAGAGGGAGATCACGAGGCAAACAGGCAGGGCAAGGAAAGAGTGTGAGCAAAGGCAGAGCTGGGAGGGAAGAAGCAGTGGGGAGCAGTAAATAGAGTTGACAGGCATAAGGGAAAGGAGAGGATCCAAAGCATAGATGAAGCCCAGCCTGGAGAGCCCTGAAGGCAAGGAAAAGGTGCCTTCAGAAGCAGGCAATGGGTACAGAGGTCCCCGCAGAAGCCTGTTGAGCAGATCATAAGGGAAGGTGCAGGCATGTGCAGAATTCAAGAAGAGGTGGCACAGCAACAGCAAGGGTTTGGCAGAACTGGTACCAGCAGAGGAGAGGGCAGATGCTGCTGCTCGCCCCTGCAGTAAAGGAGGGGAGGAGGGAAGCGGTGGCAAGGAGACCAGAGAGCAAGGTAAGGGGTCAGGGTGATCCCAGGCACGCAAGCAAAGGGATGGTGGGGCAGCCCACAGCACTGACCTTGCCATGTAGCCCAAGATGTGGGCCCGGATGACTATAGCTGCTTTCCTCAACTCCTCTTCCCGATCCTTCTCCAGCTTCTGCTCAAGAGCTTCCTTCAGGAAAACCTGACGCCAAGGGGAGGAGTTTCAATAAACACAAAGAGAGGAAAGAGTCAGTCCCCGTGAGGGAGAGCCAGGAGATTTCATCCCGGGTGAGCGGTGCAGAGCGCCCGCTACGCCCTGGCGCCCGCCAGCTCTGCCGCAGGCACCCGCGCCAGCCCCGGCGCTTCGCCCCCTTGGGTGCCTTTACTCATAGCGCGGGGAAAAAGTTTTGCAAGGGCGAGAGCCAAACTCTGCCCAGCACCCGCCTCCTTGCACTCCCCCGTCAAGACTTAACAGAGAGAGAGGGAGGGAGCAGAGGAAGGAGGGAAAAAGGAGGGAGGCGGAGGAGAGCCCAGACTTGTGCCTCTTATTAACTCTTTCCCAGCTGAGGGCTTTGCCTGCGCTATCTGGTACCTCCCTGCAGCACGCACGGAGACCAACTTTGATGATTAATTATTTTGCAAAGCAACTGGTCCACATTTCAAGAAAAGGGAGGAACATTTATATTACTAGACTGCAGGGAGCATTCTGATCAGCACTCTTAACAACACAGAGCAGCAGGGAAGCTAGAAGTCCCCCCTCAGGACCTACCCCGAGCTCACCAGCCACGCAGTGCCGCATGCATTAGAGGAGACTGAATCCCAGCAGGAGAGGTCCCCAAGTTACTGCTATATTAGTGGTTGTACTTGAGGGTCTAATCTTTCTAGCATTCTCCATCACCTGTATTTTAAACCTCTTCAGACTGCTTACAGCTTATATGAGGGAAGGCAGTGCTAGCTTAGAGACAAAAGGGCCGATACAAGCAAGAGAAGGGTATGTTTGCATGGACTGTGTTTATATAACTAAACTACATCAAACCACTGCCTGATGTTAGCAGGGAGCTCTGCTCCTTAGCTCTCTGCAGAGCTCTGCAGCCTGCACAGGGCTTGGGGGATGCAGTTAGCTGCACCAGGCTAGATTAAAGTTGGCCAAGCCGTGTCTGTACGAGCTGCAGCCGCAGTGCCATATGGCCATGCTGGCGTGACCGGCCTGACATTGGCTAGTCTCTGCTAGGGCCAGCAAGACACCCAGCTCCCCTGAGTGCTGCCGCACTTGCTAAAGCGCTGCCATGAACACAGGCCGCCAGCTCGCACGCACCAGTCTGCAAAAGTACCCTAGCGAGGGAGAACGCCTTGCAAATGTACTGGTTCTGTGTCTCTGCGAGGGGCCATCAACATGTTCACAGATCTGAACAGTTATTTAGTCTAGTGCTCTGCATAAAGGCTTCCCCTCTCCACCAACCTCTTCTTATGCTGCTGTATATCTTCTCTTCTAACACTGATTTTAGCCTCATTGCTTATTTAAGCTCCTTCCTTCCCTCTCTCCAGTATACCCCAGTATACCATCATGTACTGAAGCCTCTCTCTGAGTTGGTACTAGTGCTCATTGCCACTGGCTTCCTTGGGCTCAGCTTTCTCCTGGAGTGCAGTTTGCATTAAGATGGCCTTAAGAAACACTCTGTTTTGAGATGACTAAATAACCATCTACTGAGTAACTTTAAAAGGAAGTTCATTTTCAAGCTACTTCCGACCATGAAGTTGGCATCCTTCCCTGCATGTGTGCATCCACTTCCCCTGTCAGCCTTTCAAAGGCCTCTTTGAGATGGGGATTGCTCTTTCAATCACATTTGGACACGGTTTGAACACTGTGGACATTTAAATAAACAAGCAGCAGTCACCCTTTTGAAGAAAGCAACTAGCAAAGCACTGGACACTCAATGTCCATTATCATCACCATATTGCAAAAAGACTTAACTCCATCAGTGTTTCAGTTACAAACATGGATTTTGTTGTGCCAGTGAGGAAGAGAAAACAAACTGCCTCCAAATAAAGAGGTTTTCAGAGTTGAACAACACACATCTATTATGTCAAGGTTTCCTATACATGCTCGGGGGTGAAGGGTTAATCTCTAATGAGATGAGGCTTGAAAAAATATCTAGCTATAACCTGCTGGCATTTTGTTGGTTGTTTTTAGACTCCTGTGCATGAGGAGAGGAAAATTAATTAAAATACAGAAATATTTTGACATGCCGTAAAGCTAACTTGGAATTTGGCTGTTTCTTTGTTGTAATTTATGGTCACTTTCTGAAAACATGAGCTCATTTTCACCTGAGGAAGGTGTGATTAGAAAAAACATACAGGCTGCTTCTACCATATTCTTTCACACTAGGTACTAGGATTTAAATCAGTGATTTAAATTTCAGGATTCAAATCAGATGACTGCTTTTCACAGCCTAAACGCCTGCATGCACTGTCAGTGGAGCCATGAACATATGTGAACATTGTGTGTAGATCAGCAGACAGAAATGCAGCTCTGTGTGCACCCATACCCAGAGGTATATAGGTGTGATGCTGTGATTCCTAAGAGATGACATTGGGAAAGGAAGTAGAAGATCACTGTAACCTGGAAGCCATAGTCACATACAGAGCCTTCTTCCAACAAACAGGCCCCACAAAATAGCAGTTAAATGCATTCAAGCAGCAAGAAGCACTGCAGTAAACAGCTGTAGGAAATCTGTCATGGGTATGGAGATGTATGGCAGAAGGTTCAGGAGCATCGAGAGAAAGACATGAACCTGTGAGCCTCAAAGCTGCTGCTTCATCCAAGCACATCCCCAGTGAAGACGAAGGTCCTTAACTCAGCTCTTCCATCATCACACTGCCCATCTGAATCCAAGGCCTCACCTCTATCACGCCACTGGATAAAACCTGCCTTTCATACATCAATACCTCTTGTAAACATTAATTTGACAATTGCTAGCACAGCAGCTGCTCTATTCTTAATGAAAAACACAAAGATCATCCTGCCCTTCCTCCCCTATTTCCTTTCCCAAGCTTCACAATCCCCTGAACTAATTCACAGAGTCTTTTCCTTCCTCTTCCAAACAATCGCTAGGGATATAATTATCCTTCCATTCATTCTGCAGGAAGTATTCCCCCTTCTATAAGCCTTGCTCTTCATGCAGCCCCTATGCCCATTCCCAGGTTACATCCCCTATTGGTTGTCACACCATTCTCAGTTGCCACTTCTGGCTCCAGGAGTCAAGGTCAGTTCTCAGTGGGTGCCAGACACTGCTCCCTGGGTACCAGAACTGCACCTGCAGCAGTGGCAGCAAGAGCACATCAGGGCACTTTGTCCCTGGGACAGTGACTGAGGTGCTCTGCACATTGGCTGGTAGCTGGTATTTATCAAAAAAAATCCATATAGGCTTTTAGCTAATTTTTAGCCTCTAGGACAGAAGCATTCAAAAATATTAAGTGAGCATATGCATGCTTGTGTATGTATGGCCTCAGGCCTTCAGGATGCACAACAGGGAATGAAGAGAGAAATGATCCTGTTACTGCAAGTGGCTCAAGACAGCCTAGATGTGCTGCTTGTCCTCAGTCTGTTGTAATCCCCAGACTCCAGCTACACTTATATATAATGCTGCATATTCTACATGTCGGTCCTCGCATGCATTTCTTCACTGCCTTTGCTGTAACCCAGCAATCCCCTATCTCCTGTCACGCTAAGAAAATTCAAACTCGCTGTTTATGAGTCCTAACCAGGCCTCCCTAAAGCTGCCCAGGCACAAGCAGCTCTGCAGCACACGTGCACATACACTCACTACAGTAGCTTAAAATTCTGGGATACTGGCAGCCTCCTGAGCAGTGTGGGTTAACCAGAGAGAAAAATGACCGAAATGCTTGTTGGTTTGTAGGGACCAGTGAGAATAGTCCAAATTGCCTGATCAGAGGTAGAGGACACTTGAATCCCAGACTGGAAACGTGGCTAAGTGATAAGTCCTTCCTTTTTTTGGACATGCAAAGTCAGGCAAAGGAAGGTTATAGAAACTGCAGGTTAACCTATCTCCTTCCCATAACAACGGCCAGAGGTTTCCTTGGTTGTCACATGGCTCATAGCTCTGCCTGACAACTGGCCTCCCTACAAAGGGGAAAAGAGATATCAGCCACTAAGAAACATTACAGTCTATTTTACGGTCTCCATTACACTTATTATGAGATGATTGCTCAAAATGCTAAGTCTTATTATCTGATCTGCACAAATTAAATGCAATACCCACTACAATCACTTCCAGTTCCATGGTGAACCTAGAAATATTCTGGATTACGCTTTTGATGCAAAAGTCCTGTTTAGTTTAATGGATCATTGTCTGCTGTATCTAAATACCAACTGAATACCTGCCACTTAGAAATACTGTCTGCATTGTACATCTACTTCAGAATATTTTTGAAATAATTGATTGTATTATGCAGAAAGCTCAACCTCCCACTGCCAGATTTCTCACTGGTCAGATTCTGCAGCGATCTACCTTACAACACTTGCATCTATTCCTCTGTGAAGCTGTCTCAAAGCCTGAAAAAAATCAGGTTGAAACATCCCGCTCCCTCTCAACTAAATGAAAGATAAAGGATTGTGGCACTCTTCCAGCTTAGTGGAAGAAAAAAAAAAAAAAAAAAAAAAAAAAAAGGAGGAAGGGAGCAAAGATAAGTGTTAAACATTTGCCAGTACAGAAACAAAACCTGAGTTAGGCAATGAGAAGCATTTGGATACCTTGTCATAGAAAATGAAGGCAAATATCTGTGCTTACTGCACACACCTTAAGCATCCACAGCAGAAAGCTGTCACACATGTGGTCATCTAGCCACCCAGTCACAGTTTAGGTATCTACCGAACAGCAGCTCACTGGCTCCCAAGAGAATTTCAGTTACACAAGTACAGCAAAATGTTTGAAAGAAGAGGTCACAGTTAACTGTGATCAAACAAAAAAGTGATCTGCATTGGTCAACAAGAAAGATCTGAGACCAAAAATCTTCAGGTACATAATATGGGAAACATTTGAGATGCTGCAGGTCAGCGCTATAGTCCAAAGCATTGACTGGGTCATCACTATTTTGCCATTTGTACCAACTTGAACCTCCCATGTGCAAGTGCATCCCCTTGGAGCAGGAAGGGAGCCATTCCTCATCTGCCCTGCCCCACGCTGATGAAGTACCTTGGTTTTACCCAATTGCCACTGTTTCTTGCTGCTGTCATAGGTCTGCAGCAGGCCTGCACATACTGCTTTGCTGTTGTCTGAGGCACTCGGCCCCTTCACAAGCATCTTGTACCTAAGAAGCAAATAAAAGCGTCATGAGATTATGCACAAAAGGAACCTCTTCATCTTTTAACATGGTGCCAGTTACCCTCCTTTCATTAGTCCTTCCTCCTCCTCAGAGAGGGATCCCATCTCGGGCCTCCTTTTTTCATGCCTACCTTCCAGTTTGGAAACTTCTCTCTCCCAAGCTTCATTTGTTCCTACCTCATTGGCAATTACTGGCAAATTACTGGCAGCAATAAAATACAAACTCAACAGCAATTGTTGGTAAAGAACAACTGTCCTTCTGAAACATATGCTACCATCAGATACAAGTTATCTTGTTCAGTGTAGGGGTAGCATATAATACTCCTAGATGCAACGAAAGTGATGGTCAATGGTCCCTTTTAGCCACAAACTTTAAGAAACCTTTTGATGCAGATAATTAAAAAGTAATCTCCTTCTCCAATGTTAATCATCAACTATACTTCCCATTAAGATTTGCTTCAGTCTGCCAGATTAAAAGGTCTCACCATACTATTTTCCTTTTAATACAGTATGACCAGCTTTCTTTCTGAAGGGCTGCCTAGCTAGAGCCTTTTTGTGTGGTCTCCCTCTGCAAAGCAGGTTCTAAAGTACCGAGGTAACTTTCGGAGCTGTACAGTTTCTATGGTCTATTTTTTAAAATATTTTAAATGTTGAACCAAATGGAGAAAAACTATTTCAGCAGGGATCCTAGGATAACATACAGAGAAAGCACAAATCTGGCAGAGAAAAGGTCAAGATGTTTTGAATGTGGTAACCACTTCTGTCTCATGAGCATTAGCTGCAATGAAGTCCTGGACTGCTACTCCCACCTTAAGAACAAACACACAGCAAAGACTTCTTCAAAATCTCACAAGCAAATCTGTGACAGGGCTAGAAAAATAATGAACTGCTTGGCTATTTTTCCATTCTTATTCTAAAGGCAAGCAGCCTCCCAAAGGACACCCAGATGAATGTGTGATATGGGCAATAAGGACATTGGCTAGAAAAACATCCCACAGATGATCCATATCAGTAGCAGCAGTTAAAGAGAGAGAGCAAACATATAAAACTGTATAGCTTGGGGCTGGTACAGCATGTGATGCAACCACAGCAATTACCTGCTGAGAAAGTCCTGGAAAAGGCGCCGTATAGGGAAACCTGCTCTTCGAACTTTCACCGTCTCCAGCATCCCTGAATATCGGAGTTGATTTAGAACCACCTCTGGATTGAAGAGGTTTGGTGCCTGTGCAATCATTGAAAAACAGACCAGAAGAGAGATGGAATAAGCACTGGTCTTGGCATTAGTTTGGAATGACAACTGCTTATCTGAGCAGACACCGTTACAGGCTCTACATCCATTTATCTGTAGAAAGTCAACCCAGCTCATTTGGACATCTCATTTGAAAAAGGGGAAGTTTGGCACTTCCAAAAGCAAACTCACAATACCGCCTGGTGCAGGATAAAGGATGAATGGGACATGGGCAGAGACTGGAAAAAGCAGTCTGCAGACTGTTGTCATTTGGATCGCAGCAGCAGAGCAATGATTCAATATGCTAACACATACAAAAGGCAGAAGCCTGGCTCCAGTCTCTCTGCAGTCATGCAGAAGAGCCTCTTGGCCTTCTACTGCCAAAACTGGAGACAAACTGCAGATTTTTTTTCTGGCATAAAGCCTCCGGCAGGCTTTCCTCTGCCTACGTCATACACGGTTTCAAAACACACGAGGAAAATGATCTGTTCCTAGCTCCCCATCCCATCTAGTTAGCAGTGCATCCTCCTGCCGGGGCTCACAGGAGACTTGTTTCCAGGCCAGGTTGTCTCTAAGCACCCTGACGTGCTTATGAAGCAGACTCCTCCTCTGCCTCAGAGCCAAGGATCTGCAGGAGACACTTCCTACCACACCAGGCCTGCATTCCACAGTAAACTGTTTGGAGGCACCATAAACCAAAGCAAACACCACTATTCCCAGACCTGAGGGCTCTGCAAAGCCTGTCTCAGCATCCAGGCTTTGTCAGTACATAGAGAGATGGGGTTGGGGAGACACTCAGCATGCAGCCTTTTCATTCAATTACAAAGAAGAGACAGCATTTTTTGCACAACCATAAAACCATCAGAAGGAAAAGGGGAGGGGGAGCCACGCTTATCCTCAGTTTGGACCCTCGCAGAGGCATGCAGCAGTTGGTGCAAGTGAGTGCTCATGCAGTGTCACATGCACACATTTTTCTGGAAGAAAGACTTGCCTTTTCTGTATTTGGTTTGATGCAGCGGATGAAGAATGGATTGGAAGTACTAAGTGTGGCCATCAGGGAATGCAGTGAATCCTGAAAAACAGCAAGACAAATCCCAGGGATCAGCCACTACAGAAGAGAATAGGGGATGCATTTGATACAACAGGATCTTCATGTAGCTCTCCCATTCCTGATATCTTCCTTTGATTCTGCCTTCCAAAAGCCATCTTCTCCCATTTTCTTCTTCAAGTAACAGTGCAAAACGATGCTAAATTAAAAATAATGAAAGGATAGATCATGCCTGAAAAGTGTTCCTCAACAGCTGAAACAAGGAGTATGTGGTAACTTCTTCTTTCAATAATTTAACTTGTTTTTAAAAATGAGGATCGATTCATCTACATATAATAGTGTGGATTTTAATATGGTGACACAGAGAGCCTGCCCTCAGTAGCTCAGGAAAGATTCCTTCCTGACCAAGGGAAGCGATCAAGTCCTGACCAAGGACTGAACAGGACACGTACTCTTAGCTGAACTCCTACCAAACACAAAGGCTCAAAAAACCCCAAGAGCTTTACATACTTCACAAAATATTCTTGCTATTCTTTTCCTTTGCCACCCTGCTCATTCTCAGCATCTTGCATTTTACACCAGTCAGAAATCCTTGGGGCAGGGGCACTGTCTCTTTTTCAGCTCTGCAACATTCCTGCACATTTTCAGTGCTGGACAAGAAATGAGAATTGAATGACTCCTCTTGGCCACAGGCCTCGCTTTACCCATCTGCTCTTCCCAACGGCCTGCTGCTCTCTTGGAAAACATCCTACCCTGAACTGGGAACTGACAGTCGGTCTGCGCCGTTGGGTGCCCATCTTCAGTGTCTCTTCGCTGCAACGGCTGCAGACTCTCTCAAAAAGATCATAGATGAAGTCCAGCCTAAGGGTGAAGAAAGGAATTAAAGAAGTTGAAGGACACTCGAGCTGAGAGAAGATGACTCTCATTCTTAATTATCACCCGCCTCCATGTGAAACACCCCATGTTTACTCCTGCGGTGCCACAGAGTGGCTGGGCATTTGGAAAGCATTAAATTCCTTAGAATCTGGCTGCCCTGATCCCACAGACGCCCTCCGTGCGGGAAGCTGGAACCCCACATACAACACCTAAGGTGTCCACTGCTCTGGCCAGCACACCTCCCTGCAGCCCCAAAGCAGAACTACCGTGAGGGTGTCCCAGCTAGCCTGCCTGCTTCCTCCTGCCACCCGTCCTGATGAGCTCTTATGGCATCACCCATGGAGCCCTAACCATGCTCACACAGCTGCAACCTCTGCCCTCCTGTGACCACAGGATTGCTAGAGCTACACTTAGTGCAGGCCAGCTCTGTAGCAGCTGCTGCCCCTTTGCTTCTCCTTAGGCAGGAGTGCTGGTTCTTACAAGACGGCATGAAGTTCTCCAGCACTGCTTGTGCCAGTTTATTGTTATGGCTGTTTCTAGCAGAATTTCCCTTTCTTTCTGAAGAAAAGATGAGCCTTTCTGTAATACTGGATAATGACAATCCCAATTCTAGTTCCAAGCGCTGTGTGAAGTGTTCCCCAGATGCCACTGTGCGAGTAAGGCAGCTAAGATAGCAGCTTGTATTCAGCTTCCAGCGGCTGTTGCAAAGCTGCTCACAGTGCACCCTGCAGCAAACCTCAGGGCAGATGCAACACTGAAACAATCTCCACAGCCTGGGCTCCAAATGCAATACATGCACATGCAAGTTTCTCTTATGCTTGTGAGGAAGCATAAGCATGCACTTGCATGATGCATATGGTGGAGCCACCGCTTAAAAACTTAGGGGATCCACTGCAGCAATTAGCACCTCTCTCCTTCTGCTAGGCGCCACTTCCATCTTCCAGACACTGCTGAAGACCAAGCTCAGCTCATTTCTCTAGGAGCACTTTGCAGCACTGGGGTTAAATGATGTGGAAAATGCCTAGGCCCAGAGCGAGGGCTCAGTCTGACTCAGGATTAGGATGAGGCACATCATGGCAGCTCTCCACTATACAAACAGGTTGCACATTGAAAATATGGAAAGTAAGCAGCCTCTGTACAAAGGCAGGCGTTTGACAGCATGGCAAAGAGCCTTGACTCACGGACAAATTTGCCATTGTTGGGACAAGGAAGCAGGAGGAATTAAAAAAGGAAAGGGAGAAGAGAGGAGAGAGAGAATCAGTGTTGCCTGTAGTGCTTTCTGTCATGCTTTCATAGCTCTTTTCAAAATTGTGACAACAAAACTACTCAGCTATTCATCTGTGCCTCTACTGACTCCTCCAGCTCTCCTTTCCTTTGACAGGACCTCAAGCACAGAGAAAAGAACTGATGCTCAGACCAAACAACTGCTTTCCCTGGTCTGGTTAGATGTGAATGTGGCTTAGTCCAACCATGCTTGTCTGTCCTGGCTTCCTCACAAGCGTAAGAGAAACTTGCCTGCTGTCTTTTAGCATGTTTAAAATATCGTCTCGAAAGGTGTCCCTGTTTTTCTCCAGAAAGCCTCTCACATCATAGAGCACCTGCAAAAGAGACAGAACAGCTGGAACAGAGCAGTACAAGCCATAAGCATTATCTACATTAACATGCCAATGTGCAAGACCCCCAGCAGAGCTACATTCTAGTGCTGCAGGCATATGCCAAGATCCTAGCTCTTGGGGTCAGGAAAAGGCCTCTTCAGCTCAGCATTCATTAACAGGAAAGCATTTTTTACCCATGAATTTCAGGGAAAAAAAATCAAAAACAGGAGCCAAGTGAAACAGCTGCAGAGATTTGCCTGGGGTGCATGTGGGCAAACCATCTGCAAGGTCTGTGCTACTAAAGTACTCACTTTAGGAAGTACTAATTGTGCCACCCGATTCCCTGACCTCCCCACTGCTAATGCTCAGCAGAAGAGATTCCAGGAGGAGACTACCCTTCACTGGTGCTTTCCCTCAATACACCTCCATCTGCTCCATAGTCTTCCACAACATAGAGCAGCATTTACCCGTAAAGACCCTAGCCCTTTTCCGTTCTGAGCTGGGCATGTAGCCTTTTCCCTTCCTCTCCAAAAGTGAAATCTTCTTTGTAATTTTATGTTGTATTTCATTTGTTTGTGAATGGCTAAGAAAGGGAACATTAATAACAAAATAAGGAGGACTTCCTTCTCCAAATCAAAGTTTCCTGAGAAATTCAAATAAATTTCCAAGCAGCAGAATATAGTTAGACATATGCCATGACATTTTGAACCCATTACATACCCTGTGCTCTAATATGGAGCACAGAGATCAGAATACACAGCTCTGAGAGATATGCCTTGATTTTGGCTTCTCAGTACACTAGGCTCACAAGCCCAAGAGCAACCATCTCACACATGCACCACGAACACCTACCTCACCAGCATAATGTCTTATCCCAAACTGATGATCTGTTACTCGCGGCTTCACATAGTAGTGGTTGCTCTGAAAGGAAAGAAAAAAAAGGCATCTTAAAATGCTAGTATAAGAACAAAGAGGTCAGTGAGGAACTCTGCTGTGACTGTGACAAAGCTGGGATGGGCAAGGACCTCTGTTGTTCGCAGAGTCGACAACCAGTGCTCCAGTTATCTGCATCTACATTGCAAATACGTTATTTCAGTAAGATGGAAAAATCTAGTCCTTCAAGGCATGGGAGCGAAGGCTTGCAGAATCAAGGCTGGGCAGGCATGCCATGGATGGAATGTTAATTCTTACATGTCTGACACCTGAGGAGACTGGGATCCACACAAACCATGTGGTGCAGGCACAGGCTCAGGATGCAGGGAAGATGGCAGCTTTGCTGAATGTCTACACATCTTTGTCCAGAAATCACACCAAGCTCCTGCCCATCTTCCTTTACGCTTTTTATCTTTCTCCCCCCTGTACTTTGCCCGTACCATTCCTCTCCTTCTTCCACATTCACTTTTCTTTCCCTTGGTAGGTGCTTTATTTTCTGTCATTTGTCTTTGCTGTGTATGAAGACCCTTAGCTATGTAAGAACAGCTGTATGAGGGTAGACCAAGGGTCCCTTCGGCCTCCAGCAGTGGTAACATAGAGTATGAGAAAAACAAGGCAAGGGCATGATGCTTTTCTCCTAACGGTCTCTCAAATTCTGTTTGTTTTCCCAAGGTATGCCTAGTTAGTAACCCCAAATAGATGACTCTTCCAAATACTTGTCCAGTGTCCCCTTGAACCAGCGCAAACTCCTCACATTCAGAGTGTCCCTCGGCAAGGAGCTCTCTACCGACCTGCACAGGGAACCACAATTGCTTGGAGCTCGGCTATCACTGGCACCATGTGCCCTCTCCAGGCTAGGCATGATTTTTAAAACCATATACCCCCCTCCAAGCCATCTCCCTTCCAGACTGCAGGGTCTGTCCAATGTGGTTATCCTTGCTCTGCAGCTGTCCCAGGTGGGTGATCTTTTTTCCCTTGTCTCATATAAACTCCTTTTCCCTTGGCAGGGATCAGTGCTGAATACCGTGACAGATGTGCAGTTGATCCACACCAATATATGATCCATATGGTGATGTATATGATCCAGATGAAGTATCAATACTTTCTGCTTCCTAGGAATTCTTGGTCTTTGATTTAGAGTTTTGACTGCTGCTGAGCACTGCACTGATGTCTCTGTGGAACTACCTGCCCTTGCCCCAGGCCTTCCTCCTGAATTGCAGCAGTCAGCTCAGGGCCAGTAATTCTGAATGCAAAGCTGGGACGTTCAGGTGCACCATTTTACACTTATCTGCACTGATTTTCACTGTCATTTTACAACTCGCTCAGTCTCCTAAGGTCCCTCACAGTCTGGCCTTTCCCTTCCATCTAGCATAATGTATCATCACAAAATTGCCACCTGCCTGCTTGTATCAGACACACAGACCCTTACAAGCCTCACACCATTGAAATAACTGTCCATTTACCACAGTCTCTGTCCTCTGTTTGCTCTCCATTTATTTATGCCTGCAAGGACCTTCTCTTTCATCAAGGGGCTGCCTACAGTGCTAAAAGACTTTGGTGGAAGGATATATCAAAAGTGATTAACCACATCACCTCAGCCGGTGATTCTTGACTCCTTCAAAGGAAACTAAGAGGTCTGTAAGGCAGCACATTCCCTTCTAAAGCCACACCAGTCTTTAAGTGGACTGTATTTTTTTCAGCTGTCCACTTATTCTGTCTAGTTTATTACAGGTGGTACTAATTTGCTTAATAGTGCCATCAGGCTCAATTTCCTGGAAACTTTCTCAATATCATTTCCCACTTTCTCAGACACAGGTAATGAGAAACTTTAAGTATGATGTTACACAATACTGTTTCATCTTCAAGGTCTCTTAGCAGTAAGGAGTGAATGCCTTGTGAGCCTGACAATTTGTCAATGTTACTAAAAATTAAACTTTTTCTTTCCCCTCCCCATTTCCTTGCTCTTCCTTTTCTCCAGGCAAGTCTTCTCGTCCCACACATAACCTTTCCTCATTTTCTCTCCAAACATAACTGTTACCATCTCCGCCATGCCTCCACCTCTCCTCTTCCTCCCTCACAAGCCCATGTCTTTATTCATGCCTACAGCACTTCTAGTTCCTTCTTCCAGCATCTCCAGTCATGGTAGATCTTTTGCTTTTTTTCCCCCCTTATATCTTTTGCAATCCACAGAAAACCTAGCAAAGAGGGGGGCCGTTCTGCTGTGAGATCCTGTAGGCTGAACAGCAAGAGTGGCTGGATGCCTTCCAGTGCAGTTGCAGCTTGCACCAAATACCTTAGCTGGTACCAAGAACATTTTCGCTTTCAAAACCAGTGAACACTAACACACTGTCTACTTTGTCTTTCCTTCTCATATGATCCTGGGTTTCCATGCTTACTGCTACCCCCTCAAAGCAGACGGAGGTGACACTATGAACAGTTGAATGAAAAAGCTACTCAATGCATAGGTATCACCAGAAACAGCAGCCAAAATGTAGTGGGGCATACAGGAATGCAAAAATAATGCTAACATTCTCATGCTGCTGTACAGTAAACCACAGGTGCCTTCTTACCAAGGGAACTGCGCTCTGGTTTGATTATTTATCTCAGAAAAGAACAGAGAAAAGACCTAGAGGAGTTCAGAGACAAACAGCATAAATAAAGAGGAGCTTTCAAAATTCTCAATCTGGAGATAAACTTAAGGGTTTGAGATAGTCCAGAAAGAAAATACACAAAACACAATATATTAGAAACACACAGATACTGACTGCAATTAAAAGGTAAATCAGGGATCCTCATTTACCTCAATATGTAACACAAAGGAAACATACGGGCTAAACTGAAGCAGTTTAAGCCTAAGGCAAGTATTTCCTCAAAACTATGCTTAAGTAGCCCACCAGAAGTCACTGCCACTGTATCCTTTTTGCACTCAGTATTATTACCAGAGGAGTTAGATGCTCATATAAAAAATAAGAATATCTGCACCTATGCCAGCTTCAAAAAGAAAAAAATGTCTAATAAGGGATACACATTCATATGTTTTCATATCAGGCTTGGATGAAAGTTTAAGTGATTAAAAAATTTACTACTAAAATAGTAGATTATTCCACACGTGCCCCTCCTATTGGGCTTAAGCTGCTCTGTTTTCACACTGTTTACTATTTAGAAGAATAGAGTGCAGGCCACAACCCACAATTCAAGACTATTACTGTGATCTC